GCATTAGCTCACCTACTTGCAATTCCCATCTGGTTTACCCCATGCAGCCAACACACATATGCATAAACACATACAATTTTGAGGGACTGATGAGAACTTGGCAAATGCCTCCAGAACCATCATGAGTCCAAGGTATGAGCTTCTTTCTCAGGGAAAATCTATTTCAAGGTACCCTGCCCTTCGCACAAAAAAAAGACAACTTTCCAGAGAACTACCTTCTCTTCTCTTGGGAATCCAAAGGTGCTTTTACAAGAGGCAACTGGACTTTCTGGTTTTTCTTTGAAGATGTTTCACTTCTCATCCAAGAAGCTTCTTCAGCTCTGATTGGATGGTGAGGAATGGAAGGATTTATACTCCTTGCAGACAGCTGGTCATTTGCATTCTTTTAGAGAGTCATTGAGGCCACCTGGAAGATTGTCTATGTCCTCTGGGTCACCTGAGTGGTGCAAATGGGTGTTGAAAGGACTGTATTGTAGAGTGGGGATAGATGATGTGGTATCCCTCCCCTCTGTTGAGAGATTCCCCAGTGGCCTATCCATGATCAGCTAGGTTTAGAATAGAATAGAATAACAGAGTTGGAAGGGACCTTGGAGGTCTTCTAGTCCAACCCCCTGCTTAGGCAGGAAACCCTACACCACTTCGAACAAATGGTTATCCAACATCTTCTTAAAAACTTCCAGTGTTGGAGCATTTACAACTTCTGGAGGCAAGTTCTTCCACTGATTCATTGTTCTCACTGTCAGGAAATTTCTCCTTAGTTCTAGATTGCTTCTCTCCTTGATTAGTTTCCATCCATTGCTTCTTGTCCTACCCTCAGGTGCTTTGGAGAATAGCTTCACTCCCTCTTCTTTGTGGCAGCCCCTGAGATATTGGAAGACTGCTCTCATGTCTCCTCTAGTCTTTTTTTTTCCCATTAAACTAGACATACCCAGTTCCAGCAACTGCTCTTAATAATAATAATAATAATTTTATTTCTATACCGCCCTTCTCCCGAAGGACTCAGGGCGGTGTACAGCCTGTTTAAAAACACAAACAAAACAACAATATAAAATTTAAAATAATTAAATAAAGTGGCTCAGATTTAAAACCCCAATAAATTTAAATATCCCAATTTAAGAACTATTGTGTTGCTAGTCCGGCCTGGCGGAATAATAGGGTCTTCAGTGCGCAGCGAAACGCCCGGAGGTCGGAGATCTTACGAATTTCCGGGGGCAGTTCGTTCCACAGGGCTGGGGCTCCCACAGAGAAGGCTCTCCCCCTGGGCGCCGCCAGTCGACATAACTTGGTTGATGGCACCCTGAGGAGACCCTCTCTGTGGGAACGGACTGGTCGGTGGGAGGCTATTGGTGGCAGAAGACGGTCTCGGAGGTACCCGGGTCCTATGCCATGGAGTGCTTTAAAGGTGGTAACTAACACCTTGAATTGCACCCGGAAGACCACTGGGAGCCAGTGCAGCTCGCGCAGGAGGGGTGTCACATGGGCACAACGAGTTGCGCCCATAACCACCCGCGCGGCCGCATTCTGGACCAGTTGGAGCCTCCGAGTGCTCTTCAAGGGGAGCCCCATGTAGAGAGCATTACAATAGTCCAACCGGGAAGTAACAAGGGCATGAGTGACCGTGCGTAGGGCGTCCCGATCCAGAAAGGGCTGCAACTGGTGAATCAGGCGAACCTGATAAAAGGCCCCCCTGGCCACGGCCATCATATGCTCTTCTAAAGACAGCTGTGCATCCAGAAGGACACCCAGATTGCGAGCCCTCTCTGTGGGGGGCAGAGATTCACCCCCAATAGTTAGCGATGGCACCTGCTGACTATATCGGGGCGCCGGAAGCCACAGCCACTCGGTCTTGGAGGGGTTGAGTCTGAGCAAGTTCTTCCCCATCCAGACCCGCACGGCCTCCAGGCAGCGGGACATCACATCAAGGGCATCGTTGGGGTGGTCTGGGGTGGAGATGTACAGCTGAGTATCATCAGCGTACAGATGGCACTTCACCCCAAAACCACGGATGATCTCACCCAGCGGCTTCACATAAATATTGAACAGGAGGGGCGAGAGGACTGACCCTTGCGGCACCCCCCATGTGAGACGCCTCGAGGTCGACCTCTGTCCCCCTGCCAACACAAACTGCGAGCGGTTGGAGAGGAAGGAGGAGAACCACCGCAAAACGGTGCCCCCTATTCCTAACCCCCTTAACCGCTGCAGCATGATACCATGGTCGATGGTATCAAAAGCCGCTGAGAGATCTAATAGGACTAGGACAGAGGGGCAACCCCTGTCCCGAGCCCTCCAGAGATCATCCACCAACGCGACCAATGCCGTTTCTGTGCTGTACCCCCGCCTGAAGCCCGACTGGTACGGGTCTAGATAGATAGCTTCATCTAGGTGTCGGGAAAGTTGTCGTGCCACCACGCTCTCAACAACCTTCGCCACAAAACGAAGGTTGGAGACTGGACGATAGTTAGCTAATTCAGCCGGGTCTAGGGAAGGCTTCTTGAGGAGGGGCCTCACCACCGCCTCTTTCAAGGCGGCAGGAAAGGCACCCTCACTCAGAGAAGCACCTATAATCCCCTGGAGCCAGCCTCGTGTAACCTCCCGGGAGGCCAGTACCAACCAGGAGGGGCACGGGTCCAATAAACACGTGGCGGCACTAATCTTACCCAGAACTCTGTCCACATCCTCGGGAGTCACAGGATCAAACTCCTCCCAGATAACATTCTCAAGACCTGCCCCGGTCTCCTCCCGTGGACTCATCCAATCGGAGTTCAAGCCATCCCGAATCCGAGCGACTTTATCATGCAGGAATTGCACAAAATCCTCAGCACGACCCTGCAAGGGATCTTCCCGTACTCCCCCCCGAAGAAGGGAGTGGGTCACCCTAAACAGGGCAGCTGGGCGGTTCTCTGCAGATGCGATAAGAGCGGAAAAATGGTTAGATTTTGCCGCTTTTATCGCCACTAGGTAGGTCTTGATATAAGACCTCACCTGTGTCCGGTCAGAATCGGATTGACTAGTCCTCCAAATGCTCTCTAGGCGTCTTTTCCGACGCTTCATCTCTCTCAGCTCCTCAGAGAACCAAGGAGCTAATTGAGATCGGCATCGGGTCAGATCTTCATATGTTTTAGCCTCCAGTCCCCTAATCTTCGTTGCTCTTCTCTGCACACTTTCTAGAATCTCAACATCTTTAGTTTCAGTTTCACTTCTGAGAGAAGACAGACACAAACCAGAAATTAAGTTCTTTTTTATTACCATGTCCATTTGTTCCTCACAACAGACTCAGCCTTTCCTGGCTTTTCCTTATTTATTGGTGTGTATGAGTGTGTGTGTGGCATTTTTCACAAGCCTCAGCTCATTTCTGAGTTTTCTGACAGAGTTTCTACCACTATGTATTCTTTTGCTACGTTCTCATCTGTCCATCTCTTATAAAGATCTTTTTCTCTTCAGCATTTTTGAAAGCTCTGCATGTATCCCTAAATCCAAATGTAAACAGATTTCTCCCTTTTTTTGTTTTTTGTTAAGGGTAGTCCTTCACTTATGATTGGTTGCTTAGCAACCATTTGAAATTATGACAGGCCCTCCAAAGAGTACAGGTAGTCCTCAACTTACAACAGTTCATTTAGTGACCGTTCAAAGTTGCAACGGCACTGGAAAAAGTGACTTTTGGCCATTTTTTACAGTTACCACCTTTGCAGCATCCCCATGATCGTGTGATCAAAATTCAGATACTTGGCAAACTGGCCACCCGGCCGTGCAAAGGAGCCTAAAGAAGCTACCATCCAAGGCCCACAAGCTGTAACTCCTCTCCGGGTGTTGGTAGCTTCTTTAGGCTCCCTTGCGTGGCTGTACGGCTAGTCTGGGAATCCTGAAGGACAGAGGGTGGCCTTGGAAGGTCCTGGAATGGCTGGGTGGCAAATACCTATCCTCCATGTGCCAGTTGCTGCTTCTGACCAAGTTTGGGCTCCTGTGCCTGCCTGAATAGTCAACTTGGGAGTAGGCCAAGACCTGGGGAACCCTGAGGAATGGGGAGTAGAGCAGTGGGTGCCTCAGAGGTAGGGGAGGCCTGGGGGAGGCAAGCCTGGGCCTGTCTTAGGTCTCCAAAGCCCTTCCCTACTTTTGATGCACCTGATCCTCCACTTAATGACCCACATATTTCTTGAATGATTGTACTGGGGAGAGCAGGAATGATGGGTCTTTAGGAGAGATGCCTCACTTAATGACTATCACAACATGTGGCCATAATGGACAGACTCCGTTACAATTGTATCTTGCACAACTACCTATACAGCCTTTTTCTTTCCTACATTTTGGCTCCCAGCTCTGATTTTCCTTACCACCTTATTATTTTTTCTTCCTTAGCTTTGTTCATCTCTCCCACATCTCTTCTTTCACTTAGTGTGCTCCCTGCCACTTCTTTGATCTGCTGTCCGCTGCTTGTTTCTGATCCTGGGGAGGAAATGGGGGAGCCAGCAAAGCCTTCAATCCAGAGTTAAAGGAATATAAATGATCGGGGAAATTGAGAAAACACAATACTCCCTCCAGAAATAAATTTTGAAATTAGGATAGTTCTGAATGTGCTGATTATGTGATTGGAAAGCAAGTGTATGTTAAATATGTCATTCAAAGTCCTTATCCTACATACTTAAGTAGGTACATAGCATTCTGTATGTGGACTTGTTTTAAGTATTACCAATATAGTTTCTTAGCCATCTCTAAGTAGAGAACATTTTTTCTTGGTTAATTCTGTTTGCAACTTATCACTCCTCTGTTATGATTACTTTAAAGTTGTGAACTTACTAAGTTCCTGAAGAATGTCAATACGACGGTTTTGTGAAAGGATAGAGGTATATCAGTTTTAGAGCTTTCTCAATGCACAGTTGATATTTACGTGTTGAAGCTTTATTGTGCATTGATAATTCCTTGTAAGGTTCAATGTGTTTTTGTATCAGTCAGAGAAGATTTCCTGTATTCAGCTCAAAAGATCTCATCTCTCTCTTTCTCTTTAGTACAGAGCAGTATTCAGAGATTCCAGGAGTACTTTCTTTTTGCTTTAACACCTCAACAAGTCAGAGAAATCTGCATTTCCAGGTAATAACAGAAAACTTGAGCCGAATTTCCTTGTACGCAATTTCGTATCATGAAAAACTACCTTAGACATTTTATGTCTAATACTTGCTGGATATTGAGCATTTTGTGAGTTCTCTCAAAGCAAAATTATTACTTCCTTGTGTTTATTATCTTGTATTAGTTGCCCTCCTCAGTGCCTGCAAGTATATATTTCAAACTTTTTATTATGCCAACAAAACTTTGAAAATGATTATTGCTTTATACACTTTGAAAATAATTCAAAGTAGCACATTTTTGCTATTTATTAAAAAGAGTCTGTTGTTTTTCATAGTCTGAGTGATCTTAAAAAATATAGCTCCTTTAAGAAACTCACTTATTAAATCTAATTCCATTTTTAAAGAAAATGCTTCTTAATTGGTTTGGTGAAATTCTGGTTCGAATGTTACTGAGGAATTCCTGCCTGTTTGAATCCAATGGCAGTAACCATTTGATTTGTGCATGCTATGTTTCTTTCTAGAAAATAGCCCCTGTTTATACAGAAATGTAGTGGACTTTTTTTACACAATGCCTATTCTTTAGTTATAGAATATTTATTATATGAATGCAAACTGAAACGTAATTGGATTAGTAGGCCATTTAATATTTTGTTGTTCTGTAGGATACTTGAAACTCCATTATTTCTGTCAGAGAAAAAAAATGTATATATCATTACCTGTGTACACTGTTTGTTAGGGACATATACTTATAGAAGAGATATGTTGAAATAAAATCAAAATTAACTGTTAATTTATACCACTTCTCATACAACATGTCCAAGAAAACAGACCAATACATCAGAAAGAGTGAACGCCATCAACACAACAAAGCTGAACTCTAGGGACAATTATTTACCCAAAAAATTTCTGTTTTTTCCTTACGGTTTCAGAGATTCACGCTGATGGAAATGCTTATAACTTTGTTAAAAACCTCTATGCTCAGAATATTTCATTTAAACTGTTTTAAGGCATTTTCCTCACTACTTTGACTGCCTTAGAACCTCTGGAACAGTTGGCTCTTTAGCAACATTTTTCAAACTTCCATTTAATATTTTCCTTGTTTTCCTTGTTTTAATTTTATTTGTTCCTGTTTGTCAACTCTGGTTTATTCTTTCATTTTACATTTTTATTTATCCTCATTGGTGTTTCTTGCTTTTTGCCAGTGGGCATTTTTACCCCTCCCAATGATGTGTATGGCCTTGAGTTCCTGTAAATCTGTAACACATGGCAATAAATTCATCCTACACATAGGCATCTTCTTTCTTTGAGCTATTCAGAAAGGGGTATGTTGCTTATTAAGGCTTGACAACAAAAGCAGGATTCATATGCCCCCGGCCTAAATTTTTTTTTTTTTTTGCAATTGTATGATCCGTTGGAGAACATCTCCAGAAATAAGCATGCAAAACAGGAGACAGTGCCAAGATTTCTCATACACTGCACTGACCACAATGAATAAGAGGCCCCCATATACTTTACAGGGCAGTTTTTAAATCTAATTTACTTCCAATACTGCGGTCTGACTTTTTGTACCTACACTACAGGTATAGATCCAGTTTGGGCCACAAGAAAGGACTTACATGCAAACTTGTAGGTAATTTCATACCAAGCCGAGCAATCCTAGTAAATTGATGAAGCATTCTGCTCCAGTTTCAATAAACCTAATAAAAAAGAAGGCAAAAATAATGGTCATTGTCACTAAATGTTTTGATTGGTTGTTTTTGTGCCAACTTAGCCATTGCTGAAACAGAACCAATAGAAGAGAATGTTTGTAGCTCAAGTTTGAACTGTGGGATTCTTGGTGCTCTCTGAGCTTGATGGTTTTCTTGCAGGCGTTTCATTACCAAACTTTAATCCTGACGATCAGATCTTTTGGTTCCTGAATTTTTTACTCGGCAACAGGTTTGATGAAAAAGTGAATCCTAAGAAAGGAGAAGATGTATAGCTCAGGGTTGACATGCTAGTGCTAGCACTGATGATGTTACCTAGTTAGAATAATAAAACGTCTGCAAGAAAACAAGCAAGCTCAGAGAACACCAAGGACCCCTGAAAGTGAATCCTACAGGTCTGGACAATAGCACTTAGTTTGTATCTTCAGTCCCGTATGCAACTGATAAGGCCATGATGAGTAACAGTCCATCACAGTTAGTCATGGAGTCCTTAGGTTGCAATTGCCTATGGCTTCAAATATAACAGGCTAATGTTAACAAATGTCATTCGTCCGCTGAGACTTCATACCTCTGAACAAGCCTGTCAACTTTCTTCAACGTTTATTTCTGCCACTGGGAAAGCTGGTTGTATGTTGAAAAGAACTCGCAATGTGGAGAGAGAAACTGTCTTTATCAAATGCATCTGCCCCTCTGATCTTTATTGAACCGGTGGCTGAACACTGGCCGAAGCAAGTTCACGTTGAAAGGTGAAGGTCAGAAAAATCAGCTCTGTCTAAACCATTTCTATTTCCATTGCTACAGGGACTTTTTGCCCGGAGGCAGAAGAGACTACACGGTGCAGGTTCAATTGAGGTGACTTCCATCTTTCTTATCATAACATATCCATAATGCCTTCCTTTAACTGGAATGAATGGTAACTTAAATTCATTGATTGAACAATTTTTTTCTTTTGCAAACAGACTATGCCTAGCAGAAACAAGCTGCCCTCAAGAGGATAACTACCCCAATAGTTTATGCATAAAAGTGAACGGGAAGCTCTTTCCATTGCCGGTATGGTGACTTGAGTTATTTTGATGTATTTATTATTTTGATGTATGCCCATCTCAAATTCATGATGCTGGGTGACTCACCATGTTAAAAAGAAAATATGAAAGTATTTTTTAAAAATCAAATGTTTGCAGTTCTTCTGCCTGAAACAGAACTTTGTTCTGTCTTTGCACTTAAAATCTGCTGGATTTAACATCATATAGCAATAGCAGTAGTGCTTAGGCTTATACACTGCTTCACAGTGCTTTACAGCCCTCTCTAAGCGGTTTACAAAGTCAGCCTATTGCCCCCAATAATTTGGGTCCTCGTTTTACCCACCTCGGAAGGAGGGAATGCTGAGTCAAACCTTGAGCCTGGTGAGATTTGAATTGCCAAATTGCAGGCAGTCAGCAGAAGTAACCTGCAGTACTGCACTCTAACCACTGTGCCACCGTTGCTCATATAGACCCAGGGGTGTCCAACACTGGCATCTTTAACTGTGGACTTCAACTGGCTGGAGAATTCTGGGAGTTGAAGTTCCACAGGTCTTAAAGTTGCCAAGGTTGGACACCCTGATGTAGATTGTCCACTGGAATATTATGGTCTGTTCTGAGGACAGTTAATGCAAGAAAAATTCTGGGAACAAACAAAAGAAAGAAAAAAGAATCCTGCGATTAAAGGTAATCCTCGACTTACAACAGTTTGTTTAGTGACTGCGCGAAGTTACAACAGCACTGGAAAAAGTGACTTATCACCATTGTTCACACTTACAACCATTGCAGCATCACCAGGGTCAAATGATCAAAATTCAGATGCTTGGCAGCTGACTCATATTTATGACGGTTGCAGTGCCTTGGGATCCCCTTTTGCGACCTTCTGACAAGCAAAGTCAATTTGGAAGCCAGATTGACTTAACATCTGTGTTGTTAACAACTGCAGTGGTGCACTTAACATGGGTGGGAAGAAAGGTCATAAAATGGGGCAAAATTTATTTAATATCTCTCACTTAGCAAGAGAAATTTGGGGATCAATTATGGTCATAAGTCAAGGACTACCTGTATTTGCAAAATAATAATAATAAGAAGAAGAAGAAGAACGCTTTTTCTCTGATTATCTTTGCATTTCTTGTTCTAGTTTTCCTTTTCTACACGAGAAGGGCTAGAAAGAGATATTTCCAGGGTTGCCTATAACCTGTGATAATAATGTTTGAAATAACCTTCTAACTCCAGATGCTTAAGGCATTATGGCCTTTTTACTGTCCCTGAAATATGTCATCAAGTCATAAGAACCGCAGCCCTTACTTACGTGGGAATGAGCTCCAGGGGAATACATTCACTCAGCTTTGTACCAAATACCTCGAAAGAACTAAGCACATGATTAATGCTTCTGCAGGCATCAGTTGAACCTGTTCATAATTTTAGATGCGTGTACTACGGCCCCTATTCCAGATATGTTGTGGAGGGAATAGAACGATGAAAGAGCATTAGATAACATTTGCTGCCTTGAGTTATTTATAAAAATAATAAAGGCAAGCTAAAAATAAAGGAAAACATATGATTGGGAAAATGCTGTGTTTTTCAGGGATACGCACCTCCACCTAAAAATGGAATTGAACAGAAGAGGCCTGGACGTCCCTTGAATATTACATCATTAATTAGACTTTCCTCTGCGGTGGCAAACCAGATTTCTATATCCTGGACATCTGAAATTGGAAAGGTAAGCTGTACGCAACAAGATGGTTCTCTCTTCTCCCCCACCCTCCCCACTTTAAGTTACTATGCTCCTTTCTGTATCTGTTATAGATCAGTGTTTCTCAACCGTGGCAACTTTAAGATGAGTGGACTTCAACTCCCAGAATTCCCCAGCCAGCAAAGCCTTGCTGGTTGGGGAATTCTGGGAGTTGAAGTCCAACCATCTTAAAATTGCCAAGGTTGAGAAACACTGCTGTAGATTAAAGTTGAGCATAATTCTTCACTACATAGTAGAACTCACTCATTCTTTTATGATTTTCCCCTTGTAGAATTACTCAATGTCTGTGTATCTCGTGCGCCAGCTGACTTCAGCAATGTTGCTACAGAGATTAAAATTGAAGGGTATTAGGAATCCTGATCATTCTCGGGCACTAAGTGAGTAAAGCTGTTCTTGCATATATATTTTTTCTGATTTCAGAAATCTGTTATTAGGCTCCAGTTTTCTCCAGCAAATGTACAGTTGCAAGAAAAAGTATGTGAACCCCTTGGGATTACGTGGAGTTTTGCATGAATTGGTCATAAAATGTGCTCTGAACTTCATCTAAGTCACAACAATAGAAAAACACAGTCTGCTTAAAATAATACTACACAAACATTAGATGTTGCCATGGTTTAACTGAACATAACATGTAAACATTCACTGTGCAGGAAAAAGTATGTGAACCTTTGGACTTAATAACTGGTTGACCCTCCTTTGGCGGCAATAACCTCAACCAAACGTTTCCTGTAGTTGCAGATCAGACCTGCACAACGATCTGGAGTAATTTTGGACCACACCTCTTCACAAAACTGTTTCAGTGTAGCAATATTCTTGGGATGTCTGGTGCGAATCGCTCTCTTAAGGTCATGCCACAGCATTTCTTTTTTTTTTTTTTTTTTATTGAAAAAGTTTTCAAATACAAATTTTCCCCCCTTTTTTTTCCCCCTCTCCCTCCCCCTCCCTAACCCCCCCTCCCCACCCATCCCCCCGTGACTTCTTCATAACAAAAAAAAAACCTAATTCATAACAGATTACTTACTCCCTCCTCTAGATATTGACCTTTACTTACTAAAAATATTATTAATATTATAACATCCCCCTTTATCCATACATATCAAAAAAGAGAAAAGAAAGGAAAAAAAAAAGACATTATACTATGACATTATAGAATAACTTCTCCACTTTAAAACTATACGATAAGTCCTACTTTAACATTTAATCTTCTATATATATTACTATAACATTTCAAAGCGGCCTTCCCCATAAAATCTAGTTTAACATTTATTCCACTCTATCCATTTCCTCCACTCCCCTAAATATAACACTTAAAAATCCCTTTTCTTAGACTAATCAATCTACTAACTAGCTTATTCACCCACTATCATGCAAAATTGCCATACACAACATTTCTTAGCATCTTTGATTCACTGCCCACACTACTTAAAAATATATGTCTATATTTTCCATTATATCTAAATAAAAAAAAAGAAAAGACAATGACTTTAAATTTATAATCCATATAGTATCTTCTTTGAGGTCTTTCCACTGGATTGGTAGAACCAACATCCATAATCGGGTAACATAGCTTACTGGTGCAACAGTTTATTCAGGATCTTCAATCATATCTGCCCCCATCAGTAGTAAATATCTTCTTATATGTATAAAAGTAAAAACAACCACCCGAGTGACATTATAATTATATTCCATATAGTAATAATTGTGGGTTTCATCAGGATTATTAATTCCCATCATCGTAGTGGGTAACAACCCGATCTTCTGCATGCCCCAGCATAATTCTCTTGCCTTGTGATTCAAGATAATATAATATGTTTATCAACACAAAAAGAAATTCCAAAATGGATAATTCAAATCCATCAGTTTAAGGCTCGTTTCACGTCCCCAGATTACGGCCATGCAGAGATCTGCCACAAACCTCAGGATGATATTAACCAATACGTCGCCTCTTCTGTGTTTACACATAATCTTTCACTGTTGCCTGATTTAGAAATTTCTGTTTTTATGCCACCTATTTCTTTTTTTCTTTTCTTTTTGTGGGTTTGGTTTCCATCCTGGTTCCCTTTCTACAAAATGTGTATCATCTGGTCAGTTTTTATTCTGCTTTGTAGATTGGTCTTGTTGGTTTTGCTTTTGTATCTCATATTTCTTTTTTATCCCTTGTATATCCCCTAATTGGTTTCCATGTTTATCCTTGCCTTGATAAGTCATCACATTAAGATTAGATGCCTCTTCTCTCAAATTTGTAGATGGTCCAGCTGGGGTATCCAATAAATCCAAAGGCAATTCATCTGGTACAGTCTCTGTAATTCGATATTTTACCTTTATTTCCGGCTCCTTCTGCTTATCCTGTATTATACCTGGAGATGTTAAGTTCATTTTCAACCTATTTTGATAAAATTCTTCCGCTCTTTCAACAGTATTTAGCTGATATCTTTCTCCTTGGTATCTAAATATAATACCAACTGGGGCGTCCCACCTGTAGGAGATATTTCTCTTTTTTAACTCATTCACCAGAAAACCAAATTTCTTCCTTTCCATCAATATCTTAGGTGGGAGTTCCTTGTAAATCCAAATCTTTCTTCCATACAATTGCAAATTAGAATTGAAGGAATTTTGAACGATATTATTCCTAATTTCCTTATCTGTAAAATAAATCACCACATCTCTAGGCAATTGCCTTTGCTTAGCAATCCAGGAGTTGATTCGATAAACTCTGTCGATCCTACAAAACACTTCGTCAGGTTGAACCTTTAGAATCCCAGCTAGAAATTCAGAAGATATTTTCCTTAAATCATCTCTATTATTTTCCTGCAAACCTCTTAATCTTATCGCATATTCTGTGAAATTATATTGTACCATTAAAATCTCTTTTTCAATCTTCTGTTGCAGATTTTCTGCATTACCATACTTTTGATCAGCATCCATTTTAGGTTTTTCTTCTAAGCTATTATCCTGAGTGTTTGTCAAATCATTTTCAATTTTTTGAATTCTATTGTCCAATTTATCTTGAATTTCTTCCATTTTAGACTCTAGTACATTAGTATTTGTGTCCAACTGTATCATAAATCCTGTAAAACCATTAACCACTTTTGAGAATTTTTTCTCCAAAAAATCAAACTTAGATTTCACCAATTCTTTAATTTCCTGCTTAAATTTTTCAAATTGCTGATTCACAATCTCCTCCCTTCTTTCAATCTCCTCTATAAAAAATTCTATTATATTAAAATCAGGTTTCTGAGACTGAAGAATTAAGACTTGTTCCTTTAAGTTGTTGGTGGGGGGATCCCCCCCCTTCTTGTTTATCTGACTTTATGAGTCTCAGTGCCATGTTTCCGCCCAGGCAGGCTTTGTTAAAAAAAAAAGCAAGAAAGAAAAAAAAAAAAGGGACTTCTTTCCAATCAACAACAATATCAGGTCTCCAAGGGAAAAAAAAAGAGAAAAAACACAGGAGCAAAGTTTTGTCTACAAATGTAGCCAGTGGTATTTATTCCGCTACATTGTAGTAATAGAAAACGGAAAGACTTTCCCTTTCAGCCTCTCCTCCAGCCAACGCCATTTTAAAAGGCTTTTTTTTTTCCTCTTTCTTTTCCTCCTCTCTCTTAAGTAATTTTTTTTTTTAAAAATCAGTAAAATACTTGCGGTTCAATATTACAGGTCCAGCTCACATTTTCTTTGAGTAGTCTGTTAAATTTGCAGGCTTGCTTTTGACACCTGGCTCTGCATCAGCAGAGGTCTCCCAAAGCCCGGAGCGGCGGCTGGGGATACGGGGCATCTCATCCGCTCCGTCCCAAAAGTAAAAAAAAAACTTTTGGGACTCCGCAGAGAGTTCTACCCACCCCTGCCGGCTCTATCTCCGTTTCCTCATGGAAACGGAGTTTTTTCGAGCCGCCATTCCGTTGTGAAGGCGGCTCTAACAGGCGATGGAAGCTGACGATCCCAAAGGAACGTCTGGCAGCGACAAACAGCAACCCGGAAGTCCCATGCCACAGCATTTCAATCAGGTTGAGGTCAGGACTCTGAATGGGCCACTCCAGAAGGCGTATTCTGTGCTGTTGAAGCCATTTTTTTGTTGAATTACTTGTATGCTTTGGGTCATTGTCCTGTTGCATCATCCATCCTCTGCGGAGCTTCAGTTGGCGGACAGATGGTCATACGTTTTCCTGCAAAATGTCTTGATAAACTCTGGAATTCATTTTCCCATCAATGACAACAATCCGTCCAGGCCCTGAGGCAGCAAAGCAGCCCCAAACCATGATGCTCCCTCCGCCATGTTTTACAGTGGGGATGAGGTTTTGATGTTGGTGTGCTGTGCTTTTTTTTCTCCACACATAGTGTTGTATGTTCTTCCCAAACAACTCAATTTTGGTTTCATCTGTCCACAGTATATTTTGCCAGTAGTGCTGTGGAACATCCAGGTACTCTTTTGCAAACTTCAAACGTGCTGCAATATTTTTTTTGGACAGCAGTGGCTTCCTCCGTGGTGTCCTCCCATGTACTACATTCTTGTTTAATGTTTTCCTTATTGTAGATGTATCAACAAAAATGTTAGCATGTGCAGGAGATTTCTGTAGGTCTTTAGCTACAGAAAAACTAAAATTTTAATGGGTTATTTTACGGGTAAAGGGTTTTAAAATTTTTGGAAGCCAATTCGATTTAATTCTGTTTTAATTTATTTTAAATTTTATATTGTATGTATTTTAATCTTGGCTGTTCACTGCCCTGAGTCCTTCGGGAGAAGGGCGGTATACAAATTCAATAAACATTAACATTAACATTTAGCTGACACTCTAGGATTCTTCTTTACCTCATGAAGCATTCTGCGCTGTGCTCTTGCAGTCATTATTACAGGACGATCACACCTAGGGAAAGTAGCAACAGTGCTAAACTTTCTCCATTTGTAGACAGTCTGTCTTACCGTGGACACATGAACATCAAGGCTTTTGGAGATACTTTTGTAACCCTTTCCAGCTTCATGCAAGTCAACAATTCTTGATCGTAGGTCTTCTGAGAGCTCTTTTCTGCGAGGCATGGTTCCCATCAGACAGTGCTTCTTGAAACCAGTAAACCCAAAACAGGTGTGTGTTCTTAAAGGGCAGGACAGCTGTCAGCAACACATCCAATATCATCACACTGATTGGAGTCAAGGTTGGCTCATTCCTGGCTCCAATTAGCTCTTGGAGAAGTCATTAGGCTAGGGGCTCACATACTTTTTCCTCCCTGCACTGTGAATGTTTACATGTTATGTTCCACTAAACCATGGCAACATCTAATGTTTGTGTAGTATTATTTTAAGCAGACTGTGTTTTTCTATTGTTGTGACTTAGATGAAGTTCAGAGCACATTTTATGACCAATTCATGCAAAACTCCACGTAATCCCAAGGGTTCAGATACTTTTTCTTGCAACTGTACGCAGGTGGAAGCAGTTGGGTAGTTCCTCACCAAAGTATACTTGGGAGTTCCACATGAATGTGAATATTTCTCGTATTGTCTTAACAAGATTGTAGCTGGAATAAAATGATGACTTTTGTTTTAGAGAAAGCTGAAAAGAGATGAAACATAAAACAGACTAAAAAATTTCCAGGCAACCTTTAAAATGCAAAGAGATTAAGCTTATACAGGTAATTTTCAGCTTACGATCACAATTGAACCCAAAATTCCCATTGCTAACCTATTTCTGCTCCAGATGCATTTTTCCTCCAGATAGAGGCAGCATGTTACAGGTAGTCCTTTACTTATGACCACAATTGAGCCCAAAATTTCTGTCGTTGAGACATTTGTTCAGTGAGTTTTGCCCAATTTGATGACTTTTCTTGCCAAAGTTGTTAAGTGAATCCCTGCGGCTGATAAGTTAATAACCTGGTTGTTAAGTGAGTCTGGATTCCCCATTGACTTTGCTGGTCAGAAGGTTGCAAAAGATGATCATGTGCCCTTGGGACACAGCAACGGTCCTAACTATGAACCAGTTGCCAAGAATCTGAATTTTGATCACATGATCATGGGGATGCTGCAAAGGTCGTAACTGTGAAAAACGGTCATAAGCCACATTTTTCAGTGCCATTGTAACTTTGGTCACTAAACGAACTGTTGTAAGTCAAGGACTACCTGTAATTGTACACTGGAAGCAGGGGTGCTATTCAGCAGGTTCTGGAGAACCAGTAGTGGAAATTTTGAGTAGTTCGGAAACCTGCAAATACCACCTCTGGCTGGCCCCAGAGTAGGGAGGGAATGGAGATTTTGCAGTATCCTTCCCCTGGTGGGGAAGGGAATGGAGATTTTGCAGTATCTTTCCCCTAGGAGTGGGTAGGGAATGGGGATTGTGCAGTAGCCTTCCCCTGAAGTGGGAAGGGAATGGAGATTTTGTAGTATCCTTCCCCTGCCATGCCTATCAAGCCACACCATGCCCACCAAGCCTCACCCACAGAACCGGTAGTAAAAAAAATTGAATTCCATCAATGACTGGGAGGCAAGCATTTGTATGGCAAGGTTTTTCAAAAGTTATACCACAGAGCTTCATTTTTTTAATATTATGTTGGATTTTTGAATGATAAGAAGGTAAAGCAGAACTTGTATTAGCCACTGTATTTAATATGACAGTCATTCTGCATTTTTAATAATACTTCTCTCTCTTTTTTTCCCTCTCAGTTAAAGAAAAACTCACTGCTGATCCAGATAGTGAAATTGCTACAACCAGCCTCCGGGTATCACTGATGTGTCCTGTAAGTAAAACTAGGAGAAAGTCCTCTTGACTTTTTTTTTTTTTTTATTAAGCTTCTATCATAAAAACACATTAATAATGTGTATGGTTTGCTGTGGTTCCAATTTTATGGGGAACATTACATGGAATACATACTTTCTGCTTGGAACTTTCTGCTTGGAATTCAAAGCTTCCTATAATATTAAGAAATGAATAAGTTGACCCCTTCTTCTTTGTGGCAGCTCCTCAAATATTGGAAGACTGCTATCATGCCATCCCTTGTCCTTTTTTCATTAAACTAGATACACCCAATTCCGGCAACTGTCCATTGAATATTTTAGCCTCCAGTCCCCTAATAATCTTTGTCGCTCTTCTCCGCTCGCTTCCCATTTAATCTTAATTATCACCAGAAATAAATATTGTCTGGGTGTGGAATTCTGGAAGTTTAAGTCCACACATCTTAAAATTGCCAAGATGGGGGGAAAATATTTTCCAGTAATTAGACATGAACCCGGTCTGTGGGAGATGCTCTAATTTAGATCCTTGCATTTGGGAGGGATTTGATCATACGTCCTAAACGAGGGCCTTCCGTTTCATTTCCTGAGAATGGAATTTCTTCTTCCTCCCTGTTCTCTTTCTACCCGTCTGGGTCTCCAGCTGGGGAAAATGAGGCTGACAATCCCCTGCCGTGCCGCCACTTGTACTCACCTGCAGTGCTTTGATGCCGCTCTCTATCTTCAAATGAATGAGAAGAAGCCGACCTGGATCTGTCCTGTGTGCGACAAGAAAGCAACATATGAGAATCTCATCCTGGATGGGTAAGAACCCAGATAAGGGCTTCCTTCCAAGCTTGCGGGGTGGAGTTTTATATGTAATAACTGATAACCCAGTGTTGCCCAGGTATTTATTTATCCCAATCCCTGTATTCTACAGGGAACAGCCTTTGAGGTATTTATCTGCATTAGCAGGCACCTCCCTCGACAACTTGCCCTTTTTGCTTGAAGCTGAGGGCCTAGGGTGGTTTTTTTTTTAAAGAACCAATCCCCCTTACCAGAGGGAACCCCCTTGTGGAGTACTATGAAGCTGTTACCATGGCAACTCCACTCTGTTGTACAGTAGGAGCCATTTTAAGGCACAACAGGCTGTATCTTAACAGAACTTGAATCTAAAATGCACACTATCACTGTCAAAAGTACTGTGATTTGACACTATAACTATAATTCATTCCTTTTCATTTCAGTGGCCCAGGCATTCCAATGTTATGCTGGAACAAACACACACAGACACAAGCTTGCCCCCACAGTATTTATTTTCCAGAGAGTAAGTCATCTGTGTACCAGGTTTGGTTGAAATTGCTCGAGGCGTTCCAGAGTTATGCTGGAACATACTCTTTAGCCAGGTTCTTCCTACGTAAACCAAGATTTTTATGCAGCCCTACTTCAGTGAAATCTCAGTCCACTAGTTTCTAGGCTTTTTTTCAGGCAGCCAGCAAGCACTCTGCTGCCCATTGGGAGACTAAGGAGACTAAGATAGATCTATTTCGGACTTATTAGTCCTCATCAGTTAGCCACACCTCATCCCATGTATCCTCCCTGTAAAGGTACAGTATTTGTTTTCTTTTTGTATAAAGGCCTACGAAAAGAAAAGATATATATATATGTTTTCTCAGGTTTTTGCGGGTGTTTGTATGTAGGTCTTTGGTTATTCGGGTCTTCTCCCACGTAAAATTGGAAGTGTCTTGGCGACGTTTCGACGAAGTCTCATTCGTCATCTTCAGGCTGGTGTTCTCTCGGCTTCGTGCTTGGTTATTTGCTCCTAAGCACGAAGCCGAGAACACCAGCCTGAAGATGACGAATGAGACTTCGTCGAAACGTCGCCAAGACACTTCCAATTTTACGTGGGAGAAGACCCGAATAACCAAAGACCTACATATATATATATATATATATACATACATACATACATACATACATACATACATACATACATACACACACACACACCATATAAGACATACTTTCCCCCCCTAAAAGAGGCTGAAAATTTGGGTCCGTCTTTTACTTCGAATGTAACTTTTTCAAAGCTTTTTTTAGCCCTAACAAGGCGCTAGCGAGTGAGTGAAGCGAGTGAAGCGATCTCCTGCTTTGCCTGCTTTTCTGATTGCTGCTCCTTGTCAGCTGTCCTTTAGAAGCTGTTTTTTATCCCCAAGTAGGGGGATAAACCAGCAAATTAATGTGCTGAAGCTGACCAGACTAAGGACGCTAGCCAGATGAATACCTGGTAGGCAGATTCCCCCCACCCCACCCCCCCATTTTCCTCCCCAAAAACTAAGCTGCATCTTATACTCTGGTGCGGCTTATACTCTGAAAAATACAGTAATTGTAATAATAATGTAGTAATTCTCTTCTTCAGATTACAAAAAGCAGTTGAACCACAGTACTAAAGTTTCCCACGTATGCTTAAATGAAAGAGTTTTAAATATAAGGCAGGGTTGTATTTTTTTTTAATCCTAGCTTCCCTATCTATTCCTGATTCCTTTTAATAATAACTTTTGCAGGTGCAACAAACATATATGCATGTTCATATAAGTGTCTGAGTATATATGCAGAAACTACAACTCAAAAAAGGGTAAAAAAAGGGTAAAAGAAAGAAAAATAATTGAATTAACAGCTAATTAAAATAATTTCCATAAAATAAGATACTTCCGCTTATACACTGGTGAACCAGCTACACATACCCTGCTTCCCCCAAAATAAGACATCCCCTGATAATAAGCCCTCCCGAGCTCCGTTTTCCCTGGCAGAGGGTTGCAGGAGGCCATTGCAGCCAAAAACGGAGCTCAGGAGCCTGTTTTCACTGGCAGAGGCACCGCGGACTGACCTACCCCTGCTGTATTGTCTCAATATGTGCCTTGCGATAGAAGGTTATATCTGAATATCTGTAGTGAGGGTGGAGGTTCGTTCTCCGAGCTTGTGGGTGATTTCCAAAGTTTCGTTACCAGGCTAGGTAACATCTTCAGTGGAGTTTAGGGTAACGGTATCAGCTTGGTAACTGTTGTGGTCCACCAGCAGCCTGCAGAGCTGGCAGCGGAGTCGGACAATGAGGAGGCTGGGGAAGAACATGGGCCAGTCCTGGAGTCTGGAGAAGGCTCGGACGAGGGCTCTGCATCGGAGGCAGAGATGGAGCCAGGGCCATCTGGGAGTTATGCGCGGACTCCGGAGCTTCCAGAGTTGGACATCAGAGAGGCAGAGGAACAGGAGCCTGTTCCTAGTTTGCGCATACGCAGAGCTTCCAGAAGGCACGAACAGCTAAAACAAAAGGGACGACTCGGGAGTAAGGCCTGAAGATGATTGGTCCCTCCCATAAGGTTTAAAAGAGGAGCAAAGGCACGTGGGCCCTTTCTAGGAAAGCAACGTTGTTAAATCTGTTCCCAGTCGACATCTCTGTTTGATTCTGGACTCCGTGTGGCTTTGCCAAGTAGGCCTTTGGCAGCGTGTCAAGGGAGATAAAGGTGTGTGATTCTCTCAAAGGACTTTTTGCAACTAATTGGGACTCAGCTAATGAATGAACGTAATTCACAGCTGTTGCAATAAAAGGGGTTTTTGGGGCTACTCGTGTGTTTTAATGACTCAGGAAGCCTAGGTCACAACAGTAATGAAACGTTTGGAAACCACCCCACAAGCTCGGAGAAAGAATTTCCACCCTCAATATCTGCTTTTTTAAACAGCATCTGTTTCTCTATAAAGATGGCACCCTTCCCCTTGTGTGCACAAAGAATTGAAAGATAATGGGAAAAATCATTTTGTGTTCGGGTAAATGTATTGCTACAAAAGAGCTCCTAAAAATCATACAGATAGTCCTCGACTTAACAAAGGTTCATTTAGTGACGGTTCAGTTGCAACATCATTTTAAAAAGTGACTTGTGACCATTTTTCACGCTTATGACAGGTGCAGCATCCCCGTGGTCATGTGATCAAAAGTTGGATGCTTGGCAACTGACTCATATTTATGACCTCTGCAGTGTCCCGGGATCATGTGATTGCTTTTTATGGCCTTCTGGGAAGCAAAGTCAAAGAGGGAAACCAGATTCGCTTAACAGCCGTGCTACTAATTTAACAACTGTGGTGATTCACTTAACAGTTGTGGCAAGAAAGGTCGTAAAATGGGGCAAAATTCACTTCACAACTGTCTTTCTTCAAAACAGAAATTTTGGGCTCATGTGGTCGCAAGTCAAGGACTACCTGTAGTAACTAGTAGGTATACTCCATATTTTTCAGAGTATAAGACACACTTTTCCCCCCCAAAAGAGGCTGAAAATTTGGGTGCATCTTATACTCCGAATGTAGCTTTTTCGAAGCTTTTTTGCAGCCCTAACGAGGCGCTAGTGAGTGAAGCGATCTTCCGCACTTTGCCTGCTTTTCTCATTGCTGCTCCCTCCAACGATTAGCTGTGCTTTAGAAGCTGTTTTAGGGGATAAAAAGTGTGTGCACGTTCAAAACCAGCAAACCAATGACCAGCTAGCCAGATGAATACCTGGTAGGCAGATTTCCCCCTCCCTCCCGCCCCCATTTTCCTCCCCAAAAACTAAGGTGCATCTTATACTCCGAAAAATACGATAGTAGTTCATGTGAATAATAACTGCTGAATATGGGAAGGATGCTCCAGAGTGTTTCCAAGGAAAGTATCTGCACGATTAATGGAAACACGCCGGTAATGTTTAATATGCTCTTTTCCAGGCTCTTTATGGAAATTTTGAATGAATGTTCAGATGTTGATGAGATCAAGTTCCAGGAGGACGGTTCCTGGTGCCCTATGAGGCCCAAGAAGGAGCCTTTGAAAGTCGTTAGCCCACAGTGCCCCAAAATGGAAAGTAAGTAATTTGTAGTGATTTGTTTTTTTCTGTTGGGCTGGGAAGTTACCCCTGCTGATCTGGGTTGAACTTGGTATTCCTCCAGTTTTTTTGAAGGACAGAAACCTTAACACACCCTTCCTGGAGCACAACAAGGTTAACAGATGTGAAAGGGAATGCCCCAATTGGGCCTTTAGCTTTGAAATGGGCTGCTTTCAGTTTATTTATTTTTATTGTATTTAGTTATTTGTATCCTGTCTTTACAAACATCCCAAGGTGACCATATTTAACACATCTTCCTCCTGTTTTCTCCACAACAACCCTGTGAGATGGGTTGGACTGAGGGATTGGTCCAAGGTCACCCAACTAGCTTTCATGGTTAAGGCAGGACTAGAACTCTCAAGTCTCCTGGTGATTGGCCCAAAGTCTCCCAGTTGGCTTTCATGGCTAATATGGGACTAGAATTCACATCCTCCTAGTGATTGGTCAAAGACACCCAGCTGGCTTTCATGTCTAAGGTGGGACTAGAACTCACAATCTCCTGCTTTCTAGTCTGGCACCTTAACTACTAGACCAAGCTGGCTGCTATTTTCACTCTTTTTACTGACATCTGTCCTAGAGTGCACAAACACTCCCAAGGACTCTCCTTTCACTATCTTTTTTATTAATTAAAGAAAGCAAAAGCAAAAACAAAAACCAAGGAACAGGGAAAATACATCTATACAAAATAAACTTTGCACTACAGCAAAGATTGAAATAACACTATGATGATGAAAACTTATTTTCTGGATGTCTACAGAATTGTAAGGCTTTAATATAAACGGTGTCCCATGATGAAACTGGGTGTGATTAATTTTGGCGAGCAAAAGTTTGACCAAGTAAAAACAATCACAATTTTTGCACCTCAAGAAGAAACCTTTGCCAGTACTGTGGGGTCCTTGATGCTCTTCGAGCTTGGTTTTTATTCTTGCAGACATTTCATTGCCCAGCTAAGTAACATTATCAGTATTAGAAGGGAATGGGGTTTGCTCTCTGATTATATACTAGTCAGTGGCTTGTTCTGCTAGTGCTGGTGGATCCTCATTTGAGCGAACTCGGAAGGACGGAAGGCTGAGTCAACCCAGTTGAATTACAACTGCTGTCTCTCCCCCCCCTGCCCCCCCCTTTAGTCCTGCACTCTCCAGGTTCTGCCATGATCAGTAAGCAGGGCTCAACCCCTGCTGGCGAGGTCAACAAGAAAAAAGTGGACGTCATCGATCTCACCGTCGAAAGTTCTTCTGACGAAGAGGAGGATGCCCCGCCCAAACGGAAATGCATATACATGTCCGACACACAAGCAAGTCCCACAAAAGGGTTGGTTCATTTTCCTCTTTGTAGGGGCCGCCCTCAGCGTTGGATGCTTTGGGTTGGATCATAGATGGATAGTTGAATCAAATTATATATATATATTTTTCATTTTCTAAATTTTTAGTTTAGAAACCAAGTTTAGCCAGAAGAGGGTCTAAGGGGCCCTCATCACAACTTGGTAGATCAGTTTGTCTTTAGTCTTTAGTCTTTATTTGATTTATATACTTTTTATCAGGTTCGCCTGATTCGCCAGTTGCGTCCCTTTCTGGATTGGGACTCGTTACGCACGGCCACTCACGCCCTTGTCACCTCACGCCTGGATTATTGTAATGCTCTCTACATGGGGCTCCTCTTGAGGAGCACCCGGAGGCTCCAACTGGTCCAGAATGCGGCCGCGCGGGTGGTGACGGGAGCGATGTGGCGTTCTCATGTGACCCCCCTCCTGCGCGAGCTACACTGGCTCCCAGTGGTCTTCCGGGTGCGCTTCAAGGTTTTGGTTACTACCTTTAGAGCGCTCCATGGCTCAGGACCAGAGTACTTACGAGACCGCCTCCTGCCACCAGTAGCCTCTCACCGACCAGTTCGCTCCCATAGAGAGGGGCTCCTCAGGGTGCCGTCGGCCAAACAATGTCGACTGGCGGCCCCCAGGGGGAGAGCCTTCTCTTTGGGGGCACCTGCCATCTGGAACGAGCTCGCCCCGGAGATACGGAGGATCCAAGACTTACGCATCTTCCGCCGCACCCTAAAAACGTTTTTATTCCAACAGGCTGGTCTGGCCTAACTCTTCCTTTTAAATTGGGTTTTAAATTGGGTTTTAAATCTCTTTTAGATAAATTTGGATGTTTTAATCTTTGAGCCTAAATTATTTAATCTGTTTTTTAATAGTTTTTAACTTTTGTATGTCTTTGTATTTTATTTATGGCTGTTCACCGCCCTGAGTCCTTCGGGAGTAGGGCGGTATACAAATATGAAAAATAAATAAAATAAATAAATAAATAAATATACCGCCCTACTCCCGAAGGACTCAGGGTGGTGAACAGCCAAACAATAAAATACATAAATACAAAATTTAAAAAACAGAATAAAACTGAATTAAACAAATTTGGCCCAGACAGATTTAAAAAACCCCAATCATTTAAAAAACAGATTAAAATTTACGTATTAAAAGAGAAAAAGGGGAAAAAGATTAGGCCAGGCCCGCCTGGTGGAATAAAAAGGTCTTGAGAGCGCGACGGAAGGTGCGCAGATCCGGGATCCTCCGTATCTCCGGGGGGAGCTCGTTCCAGATCGTAGGTGCCCCCACAGAGAAGGCTCTCCCCCTGGGGGCCGCCAGTCGACATTGTTTGGCCGATGGCACCCGGAGGAGCCCCTCTCTATGAGAGCGTACTGGCCGGTGGGAGGCTATTGGTGGCAGCAGGCGGTCCCGTAAGGTTGGATGAAGCTTCCTAATCTACCAGTAGAAGAAAATACAGGTGGTCCTTGACTTAAGACCACAAATGAGCCCAACATTTCTGTTGCTAAGTGAGACATTTGTTCAGTGAGTTTTGCCCCACTTTACGACTTTTCTTGGCACAGTTGTTAAGTGAATCGGTGCAGTGGTTAAGTTAGCCACTCTGTTGTTAAGTGAATGTGGCTCCCCCATTAACGTTGCCTGTCAGAAAGGCGCAAAAGGTGATCGTGTGTCCCCAGGAAACTGCGACCGTCATAAATATGAGTCAGTTGCCAAGTGTCTTAATTTTGATAATGTGACCATGGAGATGCTGCAACAGTCATAAGTGTGAAAAACGATCATACGTCACTTTTTTTCTGTGCCGTAACTTCAGATGGTCACTAAACAAACGTTTGTAAATCGAGAACTACCTGTGTTTGTAGCTCGGGGTTGAACTGCAAACTCCTTGGTGCATTCTGAGCCTTGTTGTTTCCTTGCAGATGTTTCATTACCCGACTAGAGTAACATCATCTGTGAATCCTTATCATCCCTGATGATGCCACCTACTTTTTTTTAAAAAAATTTTTTTTGATTTATATGCCGCCCTTCTCCGGAGACTCAGGGCGGCTTACAATGCATTAAGCAATAGCCTTCATACTTTTGTATATTTATACAAAGTCAGCTTATTGCCCCCACAAACTGGGTCCTCAATTTACCTACCTTAGAAAGGATGGAAGGCTGAGTCAACCTTGAGCCTGGCGAGATTCGAACCTGCAGTAATTGCAGACAGCTGGTGTTAATCACAATGCTTTTAGTCTGCTGAGCCACCAGGCCTTTTTTTACCCATTACTTGGGTAATGAAATGTCTGCAAGAAAACAAACAAGTTCAGAGAGCACCAAAGACCCCACAGCTTCTTAAGTTTTATAGCGGGGTCTTAATGCCTGCTATATTCTGAGACACTTTATTTAGTTTATGTGTGTGTGTATGTGTGTGTGGGAATGTGTATAGGTCTGGCCCAGTAACTGAAGATTAGCAATTGCTCTCACACCTTCTAAAGAAGGGGTGTCAAACTGAATTTCATTGAGGGCTGCATCAGGGTTTTGTTTGACCTTGGGGGGCCGGGTGGACGTGGTTGGGGTGGGCACGGCCAGCTCGACGTCCCTTGTGTCGGGGGCACCTGTGGTGGCCTGGGCGCGGCTGGGGGGATCCATTGTCTCTAGCAGAGAAAGGCAAGACCAGGGAGAGGCAAACCCTTGTCCTCCAGAGGAGTCCATCCCTCTCAGGCCACACGGAGGACCCCTGGACGTTGGCACATGCTGTCCAGAGCCCTTTCTTGTTCCTTCTTGGATGCTCAAATGCAAAAGGAAAAACATTGCTCGATGCCTCCTTGCCTTGTGATCAAATTCCAGTTTTGCTAGTAGTTTGTTTTGCTAGTACTCTGCCAGTGAAAACAGAGATCAGGAGGGGTGCGGGCGTTTCTCCCGAGCTCCGTTTTCAGCTGCAATGGCCTCCTACAGCACTCTGCCAGTAGAAACGGCTGCCACCAGGTTGTAAATCATCACTCAGTCGGCCTGGGCCAGGCCGAGGCACTGCGGGATGGTCTTGTTGTGGTTCGCCAGCAGCCTGCGGAGCTGGCAGCGGAGTCGGACAGCGATGAGGCTGAGGAAGAACATGGGCCAGTCCTGGAGGCTGGGGAAGGCCCAGATGAGGGCTCTGCGTCGGAGGCAAAGATGGGGCCAGGGCCATCGGGGAGTGATGTGCGAACTCCGGAGCCTCCAGAGGCTGACAGCAGAGAGGCAGAGGAACAGGAGGAGCCTGTTCCTAGTGCACGTATGAGAAGAGCTGCCAGAAGGCAAGATCAGCTAAAGCAAAGAGGACAACTCGGGAGTAGGGCCCAGAGATGATTGGCCCCTCCCATAAGGCTTAAAAGACCAGCAACGTCTCTTGGGCTCTTTGTCTCTTTGTCGGAAAACAACCTTGATAGTCTTGCTGCAATTATCTCTGGTCGGCGTCTTCTGCTTTTGAACTTTTGCCAAGAGAAGCCTTTGGCAGTTAGCCTAATTATACCAAGGTTGGTGATTAGACTGGAGAATTTGTGTTATGAAGAGTTTGTTTTAATTTAATTCGGACTACGCTGAGAATGAGTTAATTCTCAGCTGTTCTAATAAGGTCTGTTTGTTTTGGAACCGTTTGTGTCGATTACTACCTACTTGGGCCTGGGTCACAACAGGCCTTTGGCTGTTTCCAGGGCGGTGGCACGGGCCAGATCTAACCACCCTGTGGGCCGGAGTTTGACACCCCTGTTCTAAAGGGTGACCTAGCTGAACTTGTACAAACAGGACGCTGTTAGCTTTCCATCCTCAGAGCTCTTCTTACATTGCCTGACTTTTTGTGAGCCCTTCTGCCTTTCACAAGGGTGCCCTTGTGCTCTGCTTTACCCCACACCTGCATTTCTTTCCATAGCACAGCAGTGGTTTTACTTTAAAATTAGCCGTTCTTAAGAAATCCTCCTGGCTCTGAGATGTTAGAAGATCCTGTGGCATTGGTTTTCCAGGAAACAGGGTTGGTTTCATGGTTTTTATTACTCATAAAGGAGAATATTTGTAGCTCAGGATTGAAATGAGAAATCCTTGGTGCTCTCTGAGCTTGGTTGTTTCCTTGCAGATGTTTCATTACGCAAAGTAACATCATCAGTGCTAGTCATTATTTATTAGTCATTTAGTAAAGGCATCATTTTTTAATTATAGCGTTGCATTTTTAAAATATATTGAGAGTTAATTATGGCATTAATACCATAATTATTAATTATTTTAATTATGGCAGTATATAAGAATGATTAATAAAATCATGACTGGGGACTCTCTGTTTAACAGATATAAATTCAAATGTGACAAATCTATACCTCTTTCAGTGACCTACATAAGTGCTTTGGTGTGATATTGTACAGGTCCGTCAGTCCTGGTGTGCCTGGCGGCCCGGGGCTGAAACCAAAATGGATGCTTGCGTGCATGCACACTGAGTGTGTCATGCCCCTGTCGGAATCTGAATCCGAAGGGGAAGATGAACAGCTGACAGAGAGCGAGAGAGTGGCTCTGTTGGCTATGGAAAAAACTGGGGAAGGGCAATGTCAGGCTGGGCAGAGCAGGGGAGAGGTAGAACAAGGAAGAGGGGGTACAAATGAAGACCAAGGCCCACCCCCTCCTCATCCTAGGCAGTGCACTTCTCTGAACAGAGAAGAGAGCAACGTAGGTTGCGTGGTTTAGGAGGGGGGAAAGGGCCCCAATTCCCTTTACAAGGCACACCTGCTGATGGAGTTTAAAAGGAGAGGCAAATGGGAGGAGTGGTTGTCGGGAACAAACGCTGAGTTCATCTTGTGTTTATCTGAGTTCCTGGCATCCTCCAAACTGGTTTGATGTACTGCCGTGCTACTTCACTTCTGGAACTCCTTATCTTGTTGCCCTGCTGGATTCATTACCTTATCTTGCCTTGTTGGATTTATAGTTTTAAGTTTTCTGCTTATGTTGTGGCCCGCCAGCGGCCTGCGCGAATTGTTGCTGATCCCGACGAGGAGGAGGCTGGTGTGGTGCTGCACCAGCAGCCTGTGCAGCCGGTGCTCGAGTCGGACAGCGAGGAGGCTGGAGAAGATGTGGTGCCAGAGGCGGGGATTCAGTCAGGGCCTTCAGAACCTCCAGAGGCTCCTTTAAGTGAAGAGGACGAAGAGGAGGAGCCTCTTCTCGATGCACGGGCACGCAGAGCTGCCAAAAGGCAGGAGTGGTTCCTCAGGAGGAGGTCTCCTCGAGAGTAAAGCTTGGGGCTAATTGTCCACTCCCTTAGCCTATTTAAGAAAGAATGCAGCTTGCAACAAGCTGCAGGAAACAACTTTAGTTCGCTAATCATCGCGTTGGGATGTCTCTGCAACCTTTCTTCTGGGCTTTCTGCCAACTCCAATAAGACTCTGGCTATCTTATCTGTGGAATTCTGGCAGGCTGTTAAGAACACTTATTAACAGCCGGCATTTGCTAAAACTGCGTTATTTGAGTAAACTAAATTTCGTTCAGAGTTTGTGTGTGCTGTGTTCTTTGGGATCCGTAGCTTGGGCAGAACAGCTTACAACGTTTGGGACTGAAGTATTGTCAGCCAAAGACTATTACAGGTTGGTGGAAGAGCTCTCTCCAGGCCGGAGAGTTGAAAGGGACATTGGGGGGCACAACAGTTGGTGATAATAAAGGGACTCGTATTGGTTCTCTGGCTGTGTTGCCTTTGTGTCATGCCCCGGGTCATCACGGAGTGTGGCTGACGATGGAACTCTGCTGGCCTCCCTGCTCAGTGTCTACTGACTCGACTTAGGGAAGAATAGAGGGTGGGGCGAGCGCCTGGGTGGCTGGGTGGGGCTAGGGAACAGTTTAAAACGGTGGAACAGTTACTGGACGTTTAGTGCTGACTTTGAATTTCCTGTTGATGGATGTCAGTTCGTGCTGGTGTTTGTGAGGGAGATAAAAAAATATTCAGAACTGTGTTTTGGGGGTTTTTTTTCCCCTCAAGTTTACATTGGAACCTGACATAGTCCTCAACTTACAAGCACAATTGAGGTCAAAAGTTCTGTTGCTAAGCGAGACATTTCTTAAGTGAGTTTTGCTCCAGTTCATTACCTTACTTGCCACAGTTGTTAAGTGAATCACTGCCGTTGTTAAGTTACTAACACGGTTGTTATGTGAATCTGGCTTCCCCATTGACTTTGCTTGTCAGAAGGTCGTCAAAAGGGATCAATATGGGTCAATTGCCAATTTTGATCATGTGACCCTGGGGATGCTTCAGAGGTTATTACCGTATTTTTCAGAGTATAAGACGCACCTTAATTTTTGGGGAGGAAAATAACAAAAAAGCTGATTGGTGGGTGGATCAGCCTCACGAATACCCCCAATCAGCTGTTCCCAGAGGTGAATTTTAGCAACAGGTTCCTTGGTTGTGAGCTCTGTGCCTTGCTTTTTTTTTTTGGCTGCCTTTGAAACTAAACTTTTTCCTGCCTCTGAAAGCCTCCGAAACAGCTTCAGAAAAAAAGCCTCTGAAACTCTGTTTGGGGGCTTCTTTTCTGAAGTTTCGTTTCTGATGCTTTTTTCAGCCTCTGAAACCTCCGTTTGAGAAGCTGGGTGGGGCTACATTCGGAATATAAGACGCATCCAGATTTTTCATCCTCTTTTTTGGAAAAAGGTGTGTCTTATACTCCGAAAAATACGGTAAGTGTAAAAAAATGGTCATAAGTCATTTTTATCAGCGCCATTGTGTCTTTGAAAGGTCACTAAATAAACTCTTGTAAGCCAAGGATTCTAGTGAATTTACGGACAACAGGTCAGTGTTGCATGGTTCATTAGATCTCTTTCTGGTAACTCCTGGTTTATTTTAACGTTTCACCTGCTTTTTTCTCCAACCAGCGTCCTTGTGTATCAGCCGGCAGCCGTACGAGTGCCAGGAGTCAGCACGGTGGATTCTACGGCCATCGCCCCATCATTAACAGACTACTCTGTGCCCTTCCACCATCCACCAATATCGAGCATTTCGTCTGACTTGCCTGGTAAGTGCATTTTTAGTTGTTGTTTTTTTTTTTTAAACTAATTGAGATTGTGGCTGGAATGACTAACAGTTGGAAGGGACCTTGGACCTTGACTGGGTGGGCGTGGCCAACTTGATGTCACTCATGTCGAGAGCCACCTTGCTGCCTCTACTCTCCCCTCCCCTCCCAGCCACTCCTCCCTTTCCGCCCTAAGGAGCCATTCAAGCAGTTGCCGGAGCTAAGCAGTCACCACGAGAAAGAGTTAGCAAAACACTCAGTTCAAATTGGATCTGGCCGAGAAGGAGGCTCAGCAGAAGCACCTCATTGAGGACTAGGAGCATAGGCTTTCCAAGCAGAGGGAAGACCTGCGGGAGTGCAAGGCCAGGTACTGGCACCTGGAGGCTCAGCGGACTGAGATGGTCAGCCAGTTCCAGGCCATGATGCAGTTCCACTGGAACAAGGCCCTCTGGCTCTTCCTCACCAGCGACGCTTCCCTCCAGCTTTCACCCAAAGCCCCACACCGGTAGGCTGAAGCAGACCCCAACGCAGAATTTCTGTCTCCCTCTGACCCACACAAAAAGACCCCGAAGGTGGAGACTCTCTGCAGCAACATAAATGTTCATTGCACGTATCTGCCCCCAGGACCTGTAATTTGAGTTGATATTGCACTGAACCCCTGAATCAGGGGTTTCCATCCCCTGATCCAGTGCAATATAAAAAATGCAAATAATTTTTCTGCGGACCACCAAAATTTTCTTGCGGACCACCAGTGATCCATGGAACACCAATTGGTGACCGCTGTTCTAGTCCAAACCCCCCCCCCTCAGCTCAAGCACGAGACCCTATAAAAGTAAGATGTCGACCAAAAGGTCTTCCTTCTCCCCCTTTGTTGAACGTATATCAAGCAGAGATTTTCTGCCAGGTTTGATGAGATTCTGTCCAACTAATTTCCTTGCTGATTTCCACAGTCCAGAATACAAACGCTGATTTGGTATTTGAGTCTAATGGAGAATTTTCCCCTAGCCTGCTTTGGCTCCCTTTAGCATGCTAAATGCTAAATAAGAGACTTCTTCAATTCCCAAGCTCTTTGCGGAGATGTATTGGCCATTTATTATTAAACCTACAGGAAGTCCTTGACTTATGACCATTTGTTTAGTGATTGTTCAAAGTTACAATGGCACTTAAGAATGTGACATAGCCGTTTTTCACGGTTACGACCTTTGCAGCATCCCCATGAACATGGGATAAATACTGGTTTGTATTTATGACGGTTGCAGTGTCCCTGGGGTCACGTCAGAGATGGGTTTCAGCAGGTTCTGACCAGTTCGGGAGAACCGGTAGCAGAAATTTTGAGTAGTTCGGAGAACCGGTAGTAAAAATTCTGACTGGCCCCACCCCCATCTATGCTCTGCCTCCCGAGTCCCAGCTGATCGGGAGGGAATGGGGATTTTGCAGTATCCTTCCCCTGCCACACCCACCAAGCCATGCCCACAGAACAAGTAGTAAAAAATTTTGAAACCCACCACTGGGTCACATGATCCCCTTTTGGAACCTTCTGACAATGTCCGTGGGTGTGAGAGTTTAAAAAAACAAACCTCTTGGAGAAAAATGAGGAGACCACGAAAAAGTAAAAAGCAGATTTATTATAGAGAAATATATCATAAGCTTTTGCAAAAGGGTTCTCCCAAGAAAGAGAGAGAACATCTTACAGGTCTGAATACATCGTTTAAATACATTTTTGAACGATCAGCAAAACAATTATGTGACACCCCACCCCACCCCCGCAAACTTATCATTGTTTATCGGATGTTACATAGTTTTTTGGCTATTCTGCAACATTTTCTCGAGTCAGAAATCCCCTATGGAAATCCCCTCAACACATTTATTTATTTATTTTATTTTATTTTATTTTATTTCTATACCTATAGAATTCTATACATGTCCCTGTAACAATACAATTAATTGGAACATGACAGCTTCCTTCCTTCCTTCTATCAAAGTCACCTCGGTCAGCCTGACCTGACTTGGAATGTGCTAACCCAAGTTTTATGGCTTTATTTTCCTCAGAAAAGGCAGCATACATAAGTCCCTATCTTAATGTTTTATACAGCTGGTTAGCGTATTTTTCGGAGTATTAAGACGGACCTTTTTCCTCCCTAAAAGGGGGTGAAAATTTAGGTGCGTCTTATACACCGAATGTATACACCCACCCACTGTCCCCCACCCTTTGGCCTCTGCCTCCCAGCAGTTACCTCCTTGCAAGCAAACAGCAAGAAGAAACAGCTCCTTTCAGCTTCAGCACAGCCTAATTAGCACAAATTGATTGGATGGGCCTGCCGACTCTCAGCTGTTTTGCGCAGGGCTCTGCTGCTTGCTTCAAAGAGGTAAATTGCTGGAGCAGATTTTTTTTTCCCCTTGGGCTAATCAAGCTATGCTGAAAACGAAAATGAAAGTAAAGCAGGCTGTTTGCTGTTTGCTCCAACGAGGCAAAATTGTTCAGAGGCAGAGGCAGATTTCTTTTTCTTCTTTTCCTCACCAAAAAAGGTAGGTGCGTCTTATACTCCGAAAAATACGGTATCTTAGAGTTAGCTTAGGTCATGAGAAGTGTAAATATGGAGTCACTAAGGCTATATTCTTTACAGGAATAATTCTGTTTCTCTCAATGGGGAAGACAGATTCACTCAACAACTATGTGACTAACAACTGCAGCAATTCACGTAACCACTGTGGCAAGAAAGGTCGTAAAATGGGGCAAAGCTCACTTAACAGCTACCTTGCTTAGCGGTGGAAATTTTGGGATCAATCGTGGTCGTAAATCGAGGACGACCTCTCGTTTAGCCAGTCCCAGGTCGCTCAATGGCTGTCATGATTCAGTGAGGTATACTCTTCTCGCCCAGTACAGGTAGTCCTCAACTTACGACCACAATTGAGCCCACAATTATTGTTGTTCGGTGAGATGTTTGTTAAGTGAGTTTTGCCCCATTTTACGACCTTTCTTGCCCTAATTGTTAAATTAGTAATCCGGTTGTTAAGTAAATCTGGCTTCCCCATTGACTTGGCTTGTCAGAAATATGAAGCAGTTTTCAAGCGTCAGAATGTTGATGCTACAAGGTTGTAACTGTGAAAAATGCCCAGAAGTTACATTCTTCAGTGCCATTGTAACTTTGAACGGTCACTAAACGAACTGTTGTAAGTCGAGGACCACCTGTATTTCATCTACTGTGGTCCATGATCACAGCATGTAATCTAATGCAGGCGTCTCCAACCTTGGCAACTTTAAGCCTGGAGGACTTCAATTCCCAGAATTCCCTAGCCAGCAAAGCAAAGCTGGCTGGGGAATTCTGGGAATTTTGAAGTCCTCCAGGCTTAAAGTTGCCAAGATTGGAGACCCCTGATCTAATGTATCCTTTCATACAATGCATTTACGTCTTTTTCTCCCTAGGCTTGGATTTTCTCTCTTTAATCCCAGTCGATCCACAGGTAAGGCTCTTAACTGCTTCCGATCAGCTTTTTAACATTCACAGAAACCTGAATGAAGCCGGAATAATTTTGAAACTGAAAAAATGGAAGGCCTCTGAGAAGAGTTAAAAACTACTGTTGTAGTTGTGCAATTAAACAACACAGCTCCCGCGATTTTGTTATAATCCGGATGTGTTAATTTAAAACGTAGAATATCTCAGAGAAAGGAGACAGGAGTAGAGGTTGGGGCAGCTGTTTTAATTTATTTGATTCCTTTATCTGCCCATCTCCATCAGCATCTCTGGGCAGCATCCCCATCTGAGAACAAAAACAAAACAATACAGAATAAATAAAATCTGGTCATTGAGGAGATTCCCAGTTTTCAGCTTTTGATAGCATCAATCATGGTATCCTTCTGGGTTGAGCGTGGGAGGTACTGTGATGGTTCTTCTGTCATGGCCGGTCCTGGTTAATATTGATGGAAGAGAAGAGGAGAAATCAAGTGTTAAGGATGCCAATGGCCCTTGCTGATGGTCTCTTCCCTCTTCTCTCGTATCTACACCAGAAGTGTCCAACCGTAGCCACTTTAAGACTTGTGGACTTCAAGCTGGCTGGAGAATTCTGGGAGTTGAAGTTCACAGATCTGAAAATGGCCAAGGTTGAACATCTCCGATGTACAGAAAGCCACTAGGAGAGAATGTCCATTGCCACAGGGTGAATGATTCTCAGCTGCACAGATTAGAATTAGAGTTCTTTATTGGCCAAGTGTGATTAGACACACAAGGAATTTGTCTCCGGTTCATAAGCTCTCAGTGTACATAGATGTGGCCCAAAGCATTGGGTCCCTCTTAATTGTTTCCCCCCGCCCCCCAAAGACTTCCAATTTGTCGTAAACAAAATTGAAACCAACAGAAATGAATGGCATCCGCCATTCTTTATCCCACAGCAAACTTTTTTCAAAAAAAAATATATGACCGAACACTTTCTTGTAAATAGGAAAGCAAATGAAAATGGCATGGACATAATTATTGGAGCTTCAAACCTGACAGTTTGTATCCTAGCCATTTTGGGACAATAACTGCAATTGGGCATTTTCTATTGCTCTGACTAAGACTTCGTTCTGGTGTTCTTGAACAAACTGCTTCGGTTGTCTGGATGTTTGATGAGTTCCTCCTCCTAATTGGAAATTTCAGCTCTTTCCATAAATTCCCTAAAATCCAGTGTCTTCTCCAGGGTGGATTTGATTGAAATCAACTTGATTTAAATCATAATTTTTAAAGAGCAACTGTCATCTCTGTCCCACAGCGGCTCCTCCTCTGACCCGCTGTTGACTCACCGACCGTCCCGTTAACTTGAATGGGACGGCTGGTGATGTGGTAGTGAGACAACAAGGTGAGGGACGTGGCGGGCAGCAAGTGAGTGGATGCCCGCTAACAGGCACTGCCATGATGGATCTGAAATGACAGGCGCTCTTTAAATGACTTACTCTTTTTGGTAGTTGGAATTTTTAATATTATTTGCAAACAAAATGAAGGTTTTCTATTTAGCTTGCAGAGCTTAGATTCATTGTTTTTGTTTTATCTTTGTTTTTTTATTAAATTTATATACCGCCCTACTCCCGAAGGACTCAGGGCGGTGAACAGGCACAGAACAAAATACATAGATACAAAAGTTAGAAACATAATTAAAACCAGATTAAATAATTTAGCCCGAGACAATTAAAAATCCCAATAATTTAAAACAGATTAAAATTTCGATTTAAAAGAATTTTTAAAAAGGGGAGAAAATTAGGCCAGGCCAGCTTGCTGGAATAGGAGGGTCTTAAGAGCACGGCGGAAAGTGCGCAGATCCGGGATCCTCCGTATCTCCGGGGGGAACTTGTTCCAGATAGTGGGTGCCCCCACAGAGAAGGCCCTCCCCCTGGGGGCCGCCAGTCGAAATTGTTTGGCTGACGGCACCAGGAGGAGCCCCTCTCTATGAGAACGTACCGGCCGGTGGGAGGCTCTTTGTGGTAGTAGGCGGTCCCGTAAACCCATTGAATGAGTTTACCAAAAATGTAAATATTGTAGAATATACACAGCCTCATGCTACATAACTAAGCTCCATTTCATGCTGATTAAACTAAAATATTAATGTATCTTAAATAGAAAACTATCTTTAGGTAGATTTTTATTCCAAAAACATTTTATTAAAATAAATATATTTTATATTTTATAAAATATATTAAATATATATATATTCAAAAATCCGATTTAAATAAAAAAATCTGGTTTGAATTTTAAAAAAATCCAATTTTTTTATTATTATTTTTTTAAAATCATTGATTTTTATCCACCCTGGTCTTCTCCAAAATCGCTTGACTTCTAAGCGATGCCAATAATTGACGTCCATGCCAATTTTGTTTCATTCTTGTAAGAATATTTGTCAAGTCATCTGGACTACCGCAATGTGCTTTTAGAGGGGACTCTTCTTGAAGACCTCTCAGAAGCTGCAGCTGGTCCAGAATGCAGCAGTGATGGGACGTGTCTTGTCCCATCCCTGTGGTATTTCTTCTAGGCAAGCTGCGGTGGCTCTCGGGAGACCTCTGGATGCAATTCAAGGCGCTAAACGTCACCTATGAAGGGCAGTTCGTTTTTGTCACCCTATAAGTTGTGACATTGTTGGCATCTATTAAGCAGTGCTGTCTTATCAGAGTCCAGAGTGCCTTTTCTGGCCCTCTGCAACAGCAGCCCCCTGAAGATTTGAACATCCACTCCACCCCAGCCAAGCCTGTCTAATCTCAACCAAGCTCTAAACCAGTGTTTCTCAACCTTGGAAGCTTGAAGATGGGTGGACTTCAACTCCCAGAATCCCCCAGCCAGCGCTGCTGGCTGTGGGATTCTGGGAGTTGAAGTCCACCCATCTTCAAGCTACCAAGGTTGAGAAACACTGCTCTAAGCCCTGGCTCTTTTCCTCGGTCTTTAGGCTTAGATAGGCTTTGGGCTGTTTTTATGCACTTCTAGGTCTGTTCTCTGGCCATCTCGGGTTTTTCCTGTGTTTGCATCAAGCTCTTGTTTTCATTTGCTATCTGGAATCAGGAATGCTTTATCTAAATTAGAGGGAAAGTGTCCATAATGAGCAGGGTGGATTTGATTTAAATCGAGTCGATTTAAATCATGATTGAAATCACTAGTAAAAAGACTTGATTTAAATCAACTCGATTTAAATCATAATTTTTAAAGAGCAACTGTCATCTCTGCTACTCCTTTGACCCACTGTTGACTCACCGATAGTCCCAGTGTTGCAGAATATACAGCCTCCTGCTACATAACTAAGCTCCATTTCATGCTGAATAAACTACATTATTTATGTATCTTAAATAGAAAACTATCTTACGATAGATTTTTACCCCAAAAGTTTTTTATTAAAATAAATTCAATAAAAATCAAAAAAATCTGATTTAAATAAAAAAAATAATTTTTTTGATTTTAAAAAAAAAATCATTGATTTTTATCCACCCTGATAATGAGACTCTTTAGGTTTATAGACACAGAAGCCTGTTAGCATGATAACAGTGTAGATGTGGAGTTTTAGGACTGCTTCTCTTGGACTCAATGAGGATACCTTTTGTCAATCCAGAACCAGAGTCCCATAGGTGCTTTCCCAAAAGGCAGTTGGAGTTTCTTGGGTCATCCCATCCCCCGTCCCCCGTAAAACATTTCACTTCTCCTCCAAGAAGCTTCTTCAGTTCTTGGCTGAGAAGTGAAAAGTTTTCAAAGAAAAAAAAACACCAAGAAAACCTTTTGGAAAAGTATCCTTGGGATAATAACCACGTCTTGGATGATTGAGAATCTCCATAGCCCCAGGGGTGTTAAACTCGATTTCATTGAGGGCTGAGTCAGGATTGTGTTTGACCTCGGGAAGCTGGCATGGGTGTGGCAGGGTGGGCGTGGCCAGCTCGATGTCATTCATGTTGGGGGCGCCTTTGGTGGCCCGAGTGTTCTGCCAGCAAAAACGGGCTCCCGTTTTCAGCTGCGACGGCCTCCTGCAACCCTCTGCCAGCGAAAACGGCGCTCGGGAGGGCCGCGTGCTCCGTTTTCGCTGGCAGAGGCACCGTGAGCTGGTCCTTCGCTGTTTCCAGGGCGGCCCCGCGGGCCTTGAGTTTGACCCCCCCTGCCATAGACAGTCCAGAGCAGTGTTTGTTAACTTTGGCAACTATAAGATGTGTGGACTTCCAGACTCCCAAAATTCTGGGAGTCGAAGTCCACACATCGTATAGTTAAAAAACACTCTCCCTTAGCAGAAGCTTGGTGCAATTGGCCCTCTGTGGCTCATGCTGTTCTCCCCGCTTGCATCTAGTCTCTCTTCCTTACCTTCCATCATTGTTTGTTTCAAGCAGTACTGTGCTCCTATGTTTTTGGATAGTCTCGCCTCGACCTTGCCAGCAAACACCACCTCTGGCAACCTCCTCCTCACCTCAGCCAGCCCCCTCGACAGCAGCAGCAGCAGCAGCAGCACTCGCGTTAGCTCTTCGGGCCGGAACGAGACGGCCGTGCTCACCAGCAGCAGCGGGAGCAACATTCCGGATATCATCTCCCTGGACTAAAAAAAAAAAAAAGCTGATGAAAAGCGGGACTGCCTTCTTTGCAGCTTGGAACTTTTATTTTTGAAATATTTATTGGGAGAAGACAAACAAACAAAAAGCTTTGGATTCCACAACTGTTTACCTGCAGGTTAACAGTGGAAGAAAACTGACTGGAACATTTTTTTTTTTTCTTTTCATCCTGGATCTCTCTGTCTCTCTCTCTCTGTCTCTCCCTCCCTCCCTCAGTTTTGGGAGACATATTTTCCAACAAGCCAGCCTTTCAACTTTCTGGTGGTGAAACTGACACAGTTTCTACTCTTGTGGATTCGAAGGATGAATCCCATGTGCTAATTATAACTTTGGCTTAGATCTAGCAATAATGTAAGAAAAAACAAAAACAAAAGCAGTGTTTTAAAATGCATTTAATTACTCGGGTGACAAGAACCTGCCTTATCCCGGATCTTAAGGACAAGAGGAAGGAGTTTGAATTTTGAGGAATTCTTGACCTTTTGCTGGGACCTGGAAGAAATCCTTAACAGAGAGGATGCAACTTTGCAAACTTAACGGTTGTATAAATTGTTCGCCTCTTCCTTTCCTCTTCCTCACATACCCTCTTGTAAATCTGAATTGGTGTTTCTATTTAGGAGTTTGTGCTCTCCTGAAACTGCTCAGTTACATGTGCAAAAAACAACAAAAAAACCCAACCTTATGAGAACTGGGGGGAAAAGAATGCTATGCAAAGTCCGTTTCCTGCATCTAATCTGTGTTTGTAAAAATGTGAATACGATGTTCAGCGGTTAATTTTTAGGATGGGTCGTCAGTTCTCTTTGAGAGGAAGGAAAGGGGCGAGGCAGAGATTGCTGCTTCAGATCTTGCAAAATAGCTGGTGCTTCAGGCCTCCGGATGGGTCCTCGGCGTCCTTTTTTTATTTGCACAAGGATCATGAAATTGAAGTGCTCACAGTTCGTATCACTCCGGTCATTGCTACTAGGAAGATTGACCCTCAGTTGTCTTAAGAATCGTTTTATGAGTGTAGCTAAATTAACAAGACACGATTGTCACGCTAACATCTTCCATCAGTTTTTTGGGGGGGCGGGGGGGGCGGGAACCTCAGCAAAAGAAGTAAACGAATGCTTTAAGCCAGGGGTCCCCAACCTGTGGGACACTGTCCACTAACTAGCCACAGGCTAATTGCCACTGGGCCACATGAGTGGCCAGCCTGGGTGCCCACCTGTGCGTGTGCACAGCCACGCTTGTGGGAGCGTCGCCGCAGATGCTTGTGGTCCCGCTCATGCCTCGCGAACGTCACGGGCACGCATGCCCCTCCCACAAAATGATTCTCCCCCCCCCCGTCCCCCCCAGCCACCAACCCAACAAGGTTGGGGAACTCTGCTTTAAGCATTATGAGTAGGTGTGCTTTTTATTTATTTTTTTTGGCCCAAAGTTGCTGAAACTATCCCGGGAAGAGCCTTGCTCAAGTGTATGGTCCTTGGAGGATAATTTCCAAGTATTTCATAAGTAAGCAACTTCACTCACATCGTTCTTATTCTCTCCGCCCCCCAGTACAGAAATCTGTAATACTGGGAATCTCCCAATAGGTGCCCCCGTGTAAAGTGCTTTCCCACGGTCAGATTTGGTACCCGAGACCCCTCGAGTTCAAGCTTTATTTTATCGGGTGCGGTGTTAAAAAGGGTCTCTCCGAAGTAGAAGCAGCCACTATGTAGATTGGAGTTAACGGTAACAAGAGTTGGAAGGGGCCTTGGAAGTCATCTAGTCCAACCTCCTGCTCACGCAGGAGACCTGTACTAGGGATTCGAACCGCCGAACTGCCGACCTTTCTGATCGACAAGCTCAGTGTCTCAGCCACTCCAAACCTTGGCCGTTTTTAAAACCTGTGGACTTTCAACTTCCATTTTCTGGGCCAAGATTTGGACACTCCTGCCCTAGATCAATAAAGAAAAACCCTGAGAAAGAAAACGGCGGCTTTAGTTGATATTCTAGAAGTCACCTGGGCAGGTAGGAGTGAAGTCATTTTGGCTATTCATGCTTTAGGGGTCCTGCAAACCAAATAAAACCTCCCGTATCTTTTTAATAGTTGGCCCCAGAGCATTTTAGCCAGAGTCGATGAGATTAGAAAAGCTCTAGGCTTCCTATTTTTCTCCCAACTGTTTGCTTAAAGGTCTCGGAAGTTGCGACAATGAAAGCCTTCCCGCTATTACGCTTGCGCGGCTCTTTCCTGCTCTCCCTTTTAACTTCCTTGCAAAAGTTTCTCTCTTATCCAACGGTGTTCCTAAACTGCCAAAGGCATTGCCAGGTCCATCTTTTGCTCTCCTAACCAAGTCTTAATATTTATAGAGTTATCTGGGCCATGCATACCTGGTAATGATTTCCCTTCGGATGTTCTACCCCAAACGACACTTGTTTTGTGTCGTTACGGCCACCCAAATCAATTTTTCGCTTGCATTTCATCGATCTCCATGTGCCTGCTGGTTTTTTGTATCGATTAAAAGTAATCTGATCCTTGGAGCTTTGGTTTAAGAAAAATAATGCTGTTTTTACTTTTGAGATTTTCTTTTCAGGACTTTTTTCCTCCTCGTAGTTTTCCTCTTGCTGTGCTGTGTAATTCTAAAGGTCCCGGAGAGATTCACTAAAACTCAGGGGACGTCTCTTGAAAAATTCCTCTTTGTTTCAGAGCTGAATTTCAGGCTTCTGACTCAAGTCAAAAAAAAAAAGTTTAAGCCATACTCTTTTTATTAAGCAATGCAATTAAGTACATGGATTTTTGGGGGGTTTTTTTTTTTAAAAAAAAATGCCACGCTGGATCGTTTCTGCGAACTTCTCTCCAGCCTTTAGAAGCAGCATTTCGTGTGCAAAGCAAGAGACTCTACGTACCGGGTCGGCATAAAAGCCACTGAATCTGCATAAACTGAACTTGATATGTAATAAATGCCCTGTCTCAGAAATCCTTTGCCGTTAAAAAAAAAAAAACCCATCGAGCGGAACCGGTCTCGTTTCCGGAGGAAAATAAAAACCCAACTAGATCGTTCTATTCAACAACACACTTTTATTTCTCGTTATGTGAACATGACATAATTGCTAGAGGCTGGTTTTGTGTCTTCATTTCGGGGTTGTTCCGGTTTCTCGTGTCTTCCTTTTCGCTTGTGGTGAAGCAATCCCGATTCCGTTGTGGAGTTAAGTCAGGTGTGGTCGTTAAGACTCTCCTCGCCCCGTGTGAGGAAGCCGTTACAATTTGTCCAGGAAGTTGTCTAGGGGTGGGATGCCTTCCTTCAAGCCTTTGCGTTTACGCGTTTCGGCCACAACTTGGAAAGGGCGTGAATTGGCATCGTAAGGATCTCCGGGTAAGATCTGCCAGTGATCGAAGACGCACTGCGGGAAAGCCTGGCCCCCAGTGTTGGATCTCAGGTCAGCAGTGAAACCTGTCGAGGAGGGGGAGAGAAGAAGGCTTTGTACCACCGTCCCACACAGCAGGAAGCCTTAGGGGTGCTTTACAAGTAATCCTCGACTTAAGACCACTACTCAGCCCAAAAATTCTGTTGCTAAGTGAGACAGGGCTGAGTTTTGCCCCCTTTTTGCAACCTTTCTTGATACAAGTGAATCACTGCAGTAGTTAACATTAGTAACCCGGTTGTTAAGTGAATCTGGCTTCCCCATTGACTTTGCTAGTCAGAAGGTCGCAAAAGGGGATTCCGTGACCCCAGGACACTTCTACCTTTATAAATGTATGCCAAGCACCCGAATTTTGATCACGTGACCCCAAGGATCCTGCAGTGGTCATTGAAGTGCGAAAAGTAACTGTCACTAAATGAATGGCTGTAAGTCAACTACGTGTACTTTAATCGCTGATACAATATTTGTGCAGGAGAGAAGAAAGCCATTGAGTCAATCTCTTCATAGATTATATTGTTTTTCCTTTCCACAAAATGCAGAACTATTCTGCATCCTCTGAAGAGAAAACCTCTGTCTGGCATCTGGACAATTCATGGTTTCAGTACAGCGCCAGCCCTCCCTATTATTTGATACTGGAGGGATGGAAGAACTGAGCTGCTCTTTCAAACATGCGACTAAGCTGCATACACAGAGCCCACCTGCATGTAAATGCTCTTGTCAGATGTAATATAGAACGAGCATCTAGATTGTTGGGAAACAGATGCTAATACAGGTAATAATTAGCAGATCCCCATATGGCTACTGCCCGGGTAGTCCTTGACTGATCTCTTAGCAACCGTGCAGAGTTACAACAGATTTTCTCCAGGGCTACTTACCACTCCGATTCAGAGTTTTAATCCCCCCCCCCCTCCCATCTGATCACATTTTGGGCGCTTGGCAATCAGCCTCCCTTTATGGCTATTTGCAAGATCTGATAGTCACATGACAATTTACCAGAGGGAGGGGGTTTGGTTTGCCAGAAACTGGCATTTACATCCAGTTTCTGACAAATGTCCATTGCGCGTAACTGACTTCACTTAATGACCACAGCAATTCACTCAATGACCACTGCAAAAAAAAAAAAAAGTAAAATCAGTCAAGGTCATGTGCTTAACAGGCACAACTTGCGATCGTAATTCTGGGTTCAATTATACCAATAGTCCCAAAGGTGCTTTTTCAAGAAGCAAATGGACTTTCTAGTTGGTTTTTTTTTTAAGAAGTTTCGCTTCTCATCCAAGAAGCTTCTTCAGCTCTGACTGGATGGTGGGGAATGGAAGGATTTATACTCCTTGCGGACAGCTGAACATTTTGCATTCTTTTAGAGGGTCGTTAAGGTCGCCTGTGGGTTTAATCTGTGTCCTCGGGGTCACCTGAGTGGTGCAAATGGGTATGGAGCCTTCTTGGCTGCAGGATGAGAAGCGATCTTCAAAGAAAAAACCCAGAAAGTCCAGTTGCCTCTTGAAAAAGCACCTTTGGGATAACCATGACCTGGATGACTGAGAACCTCCATAGACATCTAATTATACCAATAGCTCTCAGCCTTATATATCACTCCACAGTGCTTTATGGCAGTTTTTGAGTGGTTTACGGTCATAAGCTAAGGACTATCTTTAAGAACTGGCTGCACTGATTTCAGGGAGATGCTGGGCTCACAGAAGCAAGCTGGGTGATATGTTTAATCAAGATCTCTTACCAAAAGACTCATTCACTGGAAGATAGGCTTTGACCACAAACATCGGGGTCCCGGCTACCTGAGACTCCTCAAAAACATGGCCACGTTTCCGGTTCAGCACACCATAGATGCCCCCAACCACCTGTTCCGGACACTAGGGGGGAAAAAAAACACATTTTTAAAGAATTTTTTTTTTCTTGCTTACTGGTTGGTAGGACCGGTTCATAGCTTCTCACAATTCTTAATAGGATTATAATCAGGGTGGATTTGATTTAAATCGAGTTGATTTAAATCACAATTTAAATCATGATTTAAATCACTAGTAAAAAGGCTTGATTTAAATCAACTCGATTTAAATCATAATTTTTAAAGAGCAACTGTCATCTCTGCTACTCCTTTGACCCACTGTTGACTCACCGATAGTCCCAGTGTTGCAGAATATACAGCCTCATGCTACATAACTAAGCTCCATTTCATGCTGAATAAACTAAATGATTTATGTATCTTAAATAGAAAATTATCTTATAGATTTTTACCCCCAAAGTTTTTTATTAGAATAAATTCGATAAAAATAAAAAAAAATCTGATTTAAATCAAAAAAATCTGATTTTTTTGATTTTTTTAAAAAAAATCATTGATTTTTATCCACCCTGATTATAATTCATGCAACAATGAATTCTCACACTACAATGTTCGTCTGTTACTGCAATTCATAAAACAAGTTTTTGCATAGTACAGGTATTGCCATATTAATAAGCTCCTTCCTTTACTAGATTAATGCTAGAATAAACTAGATTTCTGCACGTATTTACAAAAGCAAAGCATTTGAGGAACCACTGATGTCTCTCTTAAAATGATGGGCTGAGACTTGACCCACAAATTCTAAAATCTTCCCATTCAAACCAGTTGCAGAGTTTTTTTAGCCTGCTAAAAAGCCTCACTTAAACCCATTGGCAGTATCTTGAAGATGGGCTAGAAATAGTTGATTAGTGGAAATACGCTTTAGCAGAACAGGAAACGGGACTGATAATCCTCTAAATGCATCATTCAGCCCCTGAATTTTATCAGGCAACCGATAAAAATTGTCTTTCAGGGGATCTGTGAGAATTTTTTACAACACTGAGAAATCACAATGTTCTTTTAAGGTTATTTTTACCCATAGCAGCATCTGGTGGCAAGATCCAAGAAACATTTTGGGAGTCCAGAGAGAAAAGTTTAGAACACAATTTATGTAGTAGCCAGTTTATTGCATATTTTACATAGGGTTTTTACTATACTTCTCTTCCCACTCTCCCTAAACGCAGTGTAGTTTAAACTATATTGTGGAAGACACCAGAAAATTCAACAAGGAACTCAACACAACATGAGCAAAAAATAGCTGTTGCTGTGAAGTGTGCCAAGTCCCAAGTAGCTTGAGGGACACGTGGCTGAGTTTGGAAGGGAGAAGAGCTAGCTGACCCTGTATATCTCATCTCAGAATGACTCTTAACTACGTCAAACCTGTCACAAGAACATGGAAATCCCAGCCTTGGCTGGCTCTCCTGAATGCCAACAAGGATCATCCACTCCTTATCCCAAGTTGACCTGGGGTTGTACCTGAATCTCAACAAGATAGATGGGCTCCATCAGACGAGGCTGGGCAGTCAAGGCAGACGCATACAAGACCCTCCTGGCAGTCGGGATGATTTGTCCTCCCCCACGATGGATCGCATCAGCATGGAGAGTCACGTCTTGAATGTCAAAACGGACCCCTCTCATGTTCTCTTCGCACAAAACGCCCTGCGTAGAGGGAAAAGACCTGGTGTTATTTACCTTCCAACAGAAGCGGGAGGATCTTTTACAAGGATGGTTGTCGCAGCCTTCTAAACAATCATTAAAAATTGCAACTAGCACAGTAATCAAACTGAACCGTTCATGCCAGATATATACCCGTTGTTTCCACGAAAATAAGACCGGGTCTTATATTAAATTTTGCTCCAAAAGACGCATTAGGGCTTATTTTCTGGTTAAGTCTTATTTTCTGGGAAATACAGTAACTAAATGCTTCCCTCTGGCTGATGATCTTAACGGCCTTATTTTGGGGGAAATACAGTAGGAAATTAGCTGTATTCCAAACACGATTTGTGGGAAATTAAGTACCGTATGCAGTGAGACTAATTATTCGAGATACAGGTACCGTGTTTCTCTGAAAATAAGACCCTGTCTTATATTTTTTTTTGAACCCTGAAATAAGAGCTTGGCCTTATTGCCATGCGCTCAAAAGCCCGATTGGGCTTATTATCAGGGGATGTCTTATTTTGGGGGAAACAAGGTAGTCCTCGGCTTACGACCACAATTAAGCTCAAAATTTCCATTGCTAAGTGAGACGGTTGTTAAGTAGCTTTTGCCCCATTTTATGACCTTTCTTGCCACAGTTGTTAAATGAATCACTACAGTTAAGGTAGTAACACAGTTGTTAAGCAAATCTGGCTTCCCCACTGACTTTGCTTGTCAGGTGTGCAAAAGGGGATCACATGACCCCAGGACACTGCAACCGTCATAAACGTGAATCAGTTGCCTGAATCAGTCATCTGAATTTCGATCACATGACCACAGGGATGCTATAAGGTCATGTGAAAAACATTCGCAAGTCCCCTTTTTCTCAGGGCCGCTGTATCTTTGAATGGTCACTAAACGAATGGCTGTAAGTGGACGACCACCTGTATGGTCTTAGATAAAATTATGTAGCAGACTTACCTCCTTAGTGGCCCACTGGAACCCAGCCACGACGCTGTCTTTGATTTCATTGAGATACTGGACTCCCTTGGTGATGTCAACCAAAATATTGGGTCCCGTCCCATCGGGACCAAAGCACCAGATCTTCCGCGCTTCGGAAACATCCCACTCGTACTTCTCGGCCAGATAGCGAGCTCGCTGCTTCAGCTCTTGGCGGGAACTAACGTCTCCTTTGTCTATATCTTCTGCCAATCCGTCAGGGAAAGGGCGGGCTTTCATATAAAGCCTATTATGCTTGTTAGGCGATTTGGATAAGCACAACTGGTTAGATTCTTCACAGACCGTCTCCCGATAAGATACTACTGGGTCGGATTTCTGCAAGTAAAACAAATCCAGTTCAATTTATAAAGGAGAATATTTGTAGCTCAGGATTGAAATGAGGCGTCCTTGGTGCTCTCTTGTGTTTTCTGGCAGACGTTTCATTACCAAACTAGGTAACATCATCAGTGCTAGAAGAGAATGGGGTTTGCTCTGTCTTCTACATATAGCAATAACAGAATAATCTATTCCTAATCGAGGAACTACCAAGGAGAAAGCAACACTCTTAGCAAGCCACTTGTATATAAACAGACAGCAAATCCCAGTCCCTTCTAGGACTGATGGGAGTTATTTATTTATTTATTTGGTTCGATTTATATGCCGCCCTTCTCCGGAGACTCAGGGCGGCTTACAATGCATTAAGCAATCCTTCATACATTTGTATATACCTGCTTAGTAGGGCTTTCGGGCCCCCCTAAGCGGTGTTCTTTTTTATACAAAGTCAGCTTATTGCCCCCACAAACCAGGTCCTCATTTTACCTCCCTCGGAAGGATGGAAGGCTGAGTCAACCTTGAGCCTGGTGAGATTTGAACTTGCAGTAATTGCAGGCAGCTGGTGTTACTTAACAGCACTTTAGTCTGCTGCACCACCAAGGCTCTTAAAGTTTGAGTCATGAAACATCTGCAAGAAAACCACCCAGCCTCAAATAGCACCTCCAACCCCACACTCCTCCTCGCACTGATGATGTTACCTAGTTTGGGCAATGAAACGTCTGAAAGAAAAGAACGAAACTCGGAGAGCACCAAAGACCCAAATTCAACTTGCCTACAACCTATGCCCCAATTTCCAAACAGAGTGTTCTTTTTAGAAAACGGAAGAATGTTATATCCAGGTTTCCCCCTCTCATTAAAAAGCCAGGCTCTCTAGAAGGCAATATCTAAAAGAGACGGGCAGAGAGATGATCCAGCTTCGAGAAATTATGTTTGTAAAATACAGAGAAGGCAGGCAGCTTCAGCAGGAAGGAAATGGTTCAGCGGACTGCAGGATCGCAAGATACCCCCATCAGGTTAAATATCTAAGATAAAACTGTGGTATCTTAAGATAAAACTTAAGACGTGCTTCTGAGAAATGCAGAGCCAAAGCAAACCTCGATCAGATAATTCATCTGAGCAAATGTCTGTGGCTAATCAACCTTTTCTAACCTTGCATCAAATGAAACATGAATAACAGAGGTACCTATGAAGGAGAATACTTGTAACTCAGGGTTGAAATGAGGGGGTCCTTGGTTCTCTCTGAGCTTGGTTGTTTCATTACCCAAACTAGGTAACTGGACTAGCACCACTGATGCTACCTAGTTGGGAAATGAAATATCTGCAAGAAAACCACCAAACTCAACACTCTACTCCCTCAATAACAGAGATCAACATTTATTGTAGCTACAGGCATCTCTCTCCTTCCCCCCACAAGTCTGTATCAAAGGGGCAGTCCCCTCAGGGGAGCTGAATCTCTTATCGCAGTGTTTCTCAACCTTGGTAGCTTGAAGATGGGTGGACTTCAACTCCCAGAATCCCCCAGCCAGCAGCGCTGGCTGGGGGATTCTGGGAGTTGAAGTCCACTCATCTTCAAGCTTCCAAGGTTGAGAAACACTGTCTTATCGGAACCAGAATGGGACAATTCACTGCAGCCAATTCGCCACGGCCATCTCAACCGCAGACAATTCCATGTGGGAGAACTCCATGCGATTAAAAAGTTATTGCCATTATTTCCATTTTTGTCAATGGAAAGAACAGGAAAGAAACGGTGGCGGGGAAACGTTTATCGCGTGGAGTTATCCTGCGTGGAATTGTCCACAGCGAATTGAAATATATATATATATTTTCTTACTTCTTTGTGGGGTTTATGTGTGTTTTTCCTCTAACCAAGTTTTCCCTACGTAACCAAGGTTTTTCTGCAGCCCCAGCTCAGTAGAATCACATCCACTCGGTTCTGGGCTTTTTTCCTTTCTAGCAGCCAGCAAGCTCTTCCTGCTAGGTGTGAGACCTATATAGATCTATTTCTAGCTCGTTTGCTTTCATCAGTAGGCCACACCCACATCTTATGTATCCTCCCTGTAAAGGTATATTTTCCTACTTCTTCGTAGGGTTTATGTGTGTTTTTTCTTTAGCCACTTTCTTCCTACGTAAACCAAGATTTTTATGCAGCCCTAGTTCAGTGAAATCCCAATCCACTAGTTTCTAGGCTTTTTTCAGGCAGCCAGGAAGCACCCTACTGCCCACTATAGTCTCCTTAGTCTCCCAATGGGCAGCAGGGTGCTTGCTGGCTGCCTGAAAAAAGCCTAGAAACTAGTGGATTGGGATTTCACTGAACTAGGGCTGCATAAAAATCTTGGTTTACGTAGGAAGAACCTGGCTAAAGAGAAACACACACAGACACACACACATAATTTTAACTTTAATTTTTTTTTAATTTCAATTTTATCTGGAGGTTTTTTCAAGAGAGTGGACCGCCATTTGTCAAGAAGGATATAGGATCTCCTCCCATGGGCAGGGAGTTGGACTAGAAGACCTTGAAGTTCCCTTCCAAGTCTGTTATTCTATATCAGGGGTGTCAAACTTGATTTCACTGAGGGCCACATCAGGTTTGTGTTTGACCTCAAAGGGGGGGGGGGCAGCATGGCCAGCATGACATCACTCATGTCGGGGGCACCTGTGGTGGCCTGAGTGCTCTACCACAAAGACAGGCTCTCCCCCCCGCCCCGCCCCCCGAGCTCCATTTTCACTAGCAGAGCCACCGCAGACTGGTCCTTTGCTGTTTCCAGGGCAGCATGCGGGCCAACTCTAACCACCCCATGGGCCGGATCCGGCCTGCAGGGCTTGAGTTTGACACCCGTGCTCTATATTCTTTTGGGGCGCGCACACACACACACACACACACACACACAAAAAACCTCCGAACTTTTTAAAAAAAATTAATGTCAATTTATCCCGCCGTCAAATGTTTCCATTCAGTCAGTGGAATCGGGATACCTTAATTGGAATGCAGGCATGGTCTTCCTCCAGATCTTTCAGACAGATTTCCAAGTGCAGCTCTCCAGCTCCAGCAATGATGTGTTCCCCAGATTCCTCAATAATGCACTAGGGAACAGGAAAGGCTTGTGATAGGGATCCATTCTGGTTTCAGGATAAAAGAAAATTCTGGAAGCGTTTATAAATCTGGTAGTTCACACCAATGCATGCAATAGCATGTTTTTGCAAATCACGTTTCAGAGGATTTCAAAGTTAGGTCATTCTAAATGGGGCGTACAGAAATTATCGTAAGATGAAATGCCTAGATACTCTGTATGTTTCATCCTTGAATTCATACAATACAGGTATTCCTCGACTTACAACCATGACTGAGCCCAAAATTTCCATTGCTAAATGGGACAGTTGTTAAGTGAATTTTACTGTGTATCTCTCTAGGCAGGTGGAATGTTTTAATTCTGTCCCTTGCTTCTCTATAATTGAGGGCCTTTCCTTTTTAGATTCTCTTAAAACACATTTTAGATATAAAGGGAAGTCCAGCTATTGAGGTTCCTTCTCCCTAACACTATAAAAAAATTCCTTTTTATGACCTCATAATCCCTTAACTTGAGGTAGGGTCAGGGTAAATGGATGTAGCTCAGAATTTACTGGCTGCATTCCCTTCCTGACACCATGTGGAGTTCGCAGCATATATTTTTTCTTCGTCCCCTAGGAGAGAAGCATCTGCTGCTACCTAGGATTGAACTCTTAACCATCCGAGTGGGAGGCAGGCGTCTTCATCACTAGACCACCATACCGCTCTCCTTCTTCCTAACACTATCCCACATGAATGAGAAAGATTAAAAACTGTTAGAGGAAGATTCATTGCTATGTTGTTTCCAGTTTTTTTCCTAAATGCTTCAGAACATTAAGAGCTCTGGTGAAACAGTCGGTTAGAATGCAGTATTGCAGGCAAACTCTGCCCACATCCTGGAGTTTGATCCTGATCAGCTCAAGTTGACTCAGCCTTCCATCCTTCCAAGGTGGGTAAAATGAGGACCCAGATTGCTGGGGGCAATATGCAAATAATGCTTTGACACTGTAAACCACTCAAGAGACTGCTGTAAAGGGCTATGGGGCAGTATATAAATCCAAATGCTACTGCGCCGTCGTGGCACAGTGGTTAGAGTGCAGTACTGCAGGCTACTTCTGCCGATCACCGGCTGCCAGCAGTTTGGCAGATCGAATCTCACCAGGTTCAAGGTTGACTCAGCCTTCCATCCTTTCGAGGTCCGTAAAACGAGGACCCAGATTGTTGGGGGCAATAGGCTGACTCTGCAAACCGCTTAGAGAGGGCTATAAAGCACTGTGAAGCGGTATATAAGTCTAAGTGCTAGTTCTAGTGCTATGTATATAGGTAGTCTTCCACCTAACGATTGCAATGGAGCTTGCCCATCGTAACTGACCGAATTTTATTACCATTTTTTGCAAAGTAGCTTTAAGCAAAAATACTGCAGTCATTAGGTGAACCAATGGTTTGCGATGGACTAGTTTTTGCTGAAAAGCAGGGTGTTTTTTGGGGGTTTTTTTGGCAAAACTATTGTGAAACACATTCATGTGACTGTAGGATGTTACAAATGGCTATAAATGCAGCCGGTTGCCAAGCACCTGACATGAAATCCTTTGAAACCTGGACCACTAAGTGATTGGGTGTAAGTCAAGGATTAGCCGTACTTCCAAGTTTATGGATTGCCTGCCTGCCTGCCTGCCTGCCTCTTTCTTTCCTTTCTCTTTCTCTTTCCTTTCTTCTTTCTCTTCATTTCTCTTTCATTTCTTTCCTTCTGTCCTTTCTCTTTCTCTCCTTCCTTCCTCTTCCTCTCTTTCATTTCGTTCCTTTCTTCCTTCCTTTTTTTATTGAAAAGTTTTATAAGAAATACAATTTTCTCCCCCCCACCCTTTCCCCCTCCCCACATAATAGAAAGTGTACATTTTCTTATACATAATAAATGCATGTTTCCCTTAAAGAAAGCATTAAAGTAGGACATTTTAATTGCATTCGGAGTTGCTCTTCTTCTCTTTCTTCCCTCATTCCACAACAAACCTTCTTCACCTTTCTTTCCCTTCCCTCCCGCTTCTCTCCTACTGTCTCCTTCCTCCTCTCCTACCTCATCCTACTTCCTTTTCCTTTCCCCCACTTCTCTCTCCTTTTCCCCCTTCTCGCCTTCACTCCTACTCCTGTCCCCTTCCCTTCCTCCTCTCCTTCTTCCATTCCTCTCCTCCCTCTCCTCTTCCTACCCACTCCTCCTCTCCTTTCTAACTTCTTTGCTGTGAAATATTCTCCTCCTTTAGTATCTGAGCAACTCCTGTATTCTAATCGTAGATACTTTCTTCTGTTAAAACATTTCCTTTTCTTTTTCATTCCTTATTTACTTTTTCATTTTTCTTTCTTCCTTCCTTTCCTTCCTTCCCTCCTTTCTTTCTCTTTCATTTCTTTCTTTCTCTTTCCTTTCCTTTCCCTTCCTTCTTCCCTATTACTATCACTAATTATAATCTATCCATCCAATGAATAATCAGCTGTATTTCGGATGAGATAGGCTTTCTATTTTCAGACGATTCTATTATTTTTGCCTACATATTTTAAGGCTTGGAGAGAATTTGAGCGAGATTTTGAGCTAGGACCGATTACATTGAGCAGCCTGCTTGCAAATGCAATTAGGCAAAACATTCGAGGCAAATTCTGTTTCTCTCTCTTTTTTTGTTTAATAAACCTACACTGCGAACCGGTTACTCCAAGTCACACCGCACAGCTACCACTCACCTGCACCATAGGGTCAGACTTGGCAAGACGCTTTAGGCCCTCCACTAGCTTTGGTAGGTCGGCAGGGTTTTTGGCTTCAACCGCAACACGCACAACTGGGCTAACACTAAATTTCATCACTCTCATGTTGTGGGCGTGTTCGAAGGTCGTAATGGTGCCCGTCTTCACCAAAAACTGGTCGACACCAACCAGGCCAACAATGTTGCCACAAGGGACATCCTCAATGGGCTCAACGTAACGTCCCATCATCAAAATGGTTCTACAAAGACAGGGGATGCGTAACGAGACCTATTTGATCATCGGAAGTATTTTCTTTTTTTAAAACCAAACCTTTTACAAAGAACGTATTTCCTATCACTGCCTTTTTTCTTTCTTTCTTTTTTTTAAATCACAAGATGAAATTTCAACTGGAGCTGCCTAAAAAAAATGGCGCAGGGAAAAAGTCTCCCGGGAAACAAAATAGCATTTTCTTTCTAGCAACCTTCCATTCCTTATCCCAGAGGTGAATTTTCAAGAGGCAACTGGATTGTTCTTTGTTTTTTTCCTTGAAGACGTTTTGCTTCTCATCCAAGAAGCTTCTTCAGCTCTGACTAGGATGGTGGGGAATGGAACTTTGAATGTCTATGGAGATTCTCAGTCATCCAAGTCATGGTTATCTCAAAGGGGCTTTTTTCAAGAGGCAACTGGGGTTTCTGTTTTTCCTTTGAAGACGTTTCGCTTCTCATCCAAGAAGCTTCTTTGGCTCTGGATGAGAAGCTTCTTGGATGAGAAGTGAAATGTCTTCAAAGAAAAAACAGAAAGTCCAGTTGCCTCTTGAAAAAAAGGACCCTTGGGACTGAACCTGAATACCGAAGAGGAACACTATGGGTGAACGTAATGTGGTCATCATCAGGCCAGCCATAGGACAGAATACAACCAAAGTGCAAATTGTGCTTAAATTACAACCATTTGCTTGTTTGTTTGTTTGTTTATTATCTATCTATCTATCTATCTATCTATCTATCTATCTATCTATCATATTTCTATGCCGCCCACTCTCCGAGGACTCTGGGCGGCTTACAACAATCGACAGTATACTAAATAGCATATTGCCCCCAACAATCTGGGTCCTCATTTTACCCACCTCGGAAGGATGGAAGGCTGAGTCAACCTTGAGCCGGTGAGATTTGATCCACTGATCTGCTGAAGTAGCTGCAGTACTGCACTCTAACCACTGCGCCACCTCGGCTCTTTGACTTTGACTGCTCATAATTTGCTTTTCATCCAAGAAGCTTCTTCAGTTCTGACTGGATGGTGGAGAATGGAAGGATTCAGTCGGAGCTGAAGAAGCTTCTTGGATGAGAAGGGAAACGTCTTCAAGGAAAAACAAAGAAGTCCAGTTGCCTCTTGAAAAAGCGACTTTTGGGACAACCATGACCTGGATGATTGAGAATCTCCATAGACACTTCTCCATTCCCTACACCCTCTAAATACAAAACTTATTGAGCTCGTGCAAGGAGTTAAAAATAGTCACACGAGCAGGAGAAAGAGTGTTGCCCTCCCAAGTCACACTGGTGACATATCTATGCTCAAACGCATTCCTGTCTTCCTGCAGTGATCTAAGAGTGTCCCAGCTTCCTAGGGGTTCTCCTGAACACAAATCAGCCGTGGCGGCACAGTAATTGGGATGCAGTGTTGCAGGCTGACTCTGCCCACTGCCAGGAGTTCAATCCTGACCGGTTCAAGGTTGACTCAGCCTTCTATCCTTCCAAGGTTGGTAAAATGAGGACCCAGATTGTTGGGGGGCAAGAGGCTGACTCTGTAAACTGCTTGGAGAGGGCTGTGAAAGCACTGTAAAGCGGTATATAAGTGCAGTTGCTATTGCTATTATTCTGCCCTATCAGAGTTGCCACAGAAAGCTTTAAGCAGGGATGGCAGGAGGAGCAGAACTCATCCCCACTGCTTGGAGAGTGCCTTGCAGCCCTTTTTGTCCTGGCAAACAAGGCGCTGGGATTTCGTTAGCATGCACCTAACTTAGAAAAGGAGGGAAACTCTAATTAGCTACCTTTGAATAGGCTTCAAGTAGAGGTCTTCCTTCTTTCCCGGGGTATAGTTGGGTCCCATAATCCGCACCTTCTGGCCAGTGGAAACTATGCCGGAAAAGACCCTCCCGAAGGCATAGAAGCGGCCTTTGTCCGATGTGGGCACCATTTTTGAGATGTACATCATCAGAGGGCCCTTTGGGTCACAGTTCTTAACACCTGCAGCCAAACAAAAAGAGCAAATTGTGAGGTCCAGGCAATTCCCTAAGTTGAGTCAAAATTGGCTGCAGGGCCTTCCGACTGACATACATTTTGTCAACTGACAATCCTCGACTTCCAACAGTTTGTTTAGTGATCAAAGTTACAGTAGCCCTGAAAAAAGTGACTTATGACCCTTTTTCACATAGTTGTTCCAGCATCCCCATGGTCACATGATCAAAATTCGGCTGCTTGGCAACCGACTCATATTTATGACGGTTGCAGTGGCCCCTGGGTCAGGTGATCCCCCTTTTACGACTTTCTGACAAACAAAGTCAACGGGGAAACCAGATTCATTTAACAACTGTGTTCCTAACTTAACAACTGCAGGGGGGCGCTTAAGAATTGTGGAAAGGTTGTAAAATGGAGCAAAGCTCATTTAACCCCCGTCTCGCTTACCAATAAAAATCTGGAGTTCAATTGTGGTCATAAGTCATAAGAATTTTTTTTGGTGGAAAAGAGTCAAGCCTTCAAGGTAGTCCAGATCAGGAAACTGTCATTGCAAGGATTCCAGGATGCTAATTTATTATTGTATGTAATAACAGAAGAGGGACACGGTGGCTCAGTGGCTAAGACACTGAGCTTGTCGATCGAAAGGTCGGCAGTTCAGCGGTTCGAATCCCTAGTGCCAAGTAATGGGGTGAGCTCCCGTTACTTGTCCCAGCTTCTGCCAACCTAGCAGTTCGAAAGCACGTAAAAAATGCAAGTAGAAAAATTTGGTGGGAAGGTAACAGCGTTCCGTGCGCCTTTGGCATTTAGTCATGCCGGCCACATGACGTCTTCGGACAGCGCTGGCTCTTCGGCTTTGAAACAGAGATGAGCACCGCCCCCTAGAGTCGGGAACGACTAGTACATATGTGCGAAGGGAACCTTTACCTTATAATAACAGAATCATCAGCATTTCCCTCTGCCCTGTTTGTCAACACAGAATTGAGGTGGCATTATTCTGAATTTCTTTTTCACACCTTCTCCTTGTCCAAGGAGTTTCTCCAATTTTCTTTCAGGCCTCTTATCCACCTTCATCACCTGCATATTCCTCCACAAATCGATAGGAATATAATTCATATTTTTTGGTGGGGTCGTTGGTGGTGATTTGTTTTCTTGCAGACGTTTTCATTATCCAAGTAGGTAACATCATCAGTGCTAGAAGGGAAAAGCCCTGCTACTTTTTAGCACTGATGCAAGTACCGTATTTTTCAGAGTATAAGACGCTTCGGACTATAAGACGCACCTACCCTTTTGGTGAGGAAAAGAAGAAAAAGAAATCTGCCTCTGCCTCCCAGCAATTTTGCCTCATTGCAGCAAACAGCAAATAGCCTGCTTTACTTTCATTTTTGTTTTCAGCATAGCTTGATTAGCACAAGAAAACAAAAATCTGCTCCCAGCAATTTATCTCCTTGCAGCAAGCAGCAGAGGCCTGTGCAAAACAGTTGAGAGTTAGGAGGCCGATCCAATCAACTTGTGCTAATTAGGCTGTGCTGAAGCTGAAAGGAGCTGTTTGTTCTTGCTGCTTGCTGCAAGGAGGTAAACTGCCGGGAGGCAGAAGCCAAAGGGTGGGGGCCAGTGGGTGGGCAGAGCTATATTTGGTGTATAAGACACACCCAAATTTTCACCCCCTTTTAGGGGGAGAAAAGGTGCGATTTATACTCTGAAAAATACGGTACTTACCGGTAGTTATGAAACATCTGCAAGAAAATAATCAAGCTCAGACAATGCCAAGGACACCACAATTCAACCCTGAGCTACAAATATTCTCTTCTACTGGGATCACTGTTAAGCAGAAGGAATTTATCTGGACCCATGCACATGCCTAAATCGAAGAGTAAGTCTACAGCTATCTACTGATACAAAGAACCATGACGGTTTAACCAAGACCCTCTGGGAGGGCCAAATCCAAGCTACCCTCAACATTCCACTTGCTGGAGATCTCCCTAAGCATCAAGCTGGAATCTTCCACACTGTGTAACACAAATAAGCAGAATGCAAAAGGATGTGACATTTAGGAGATGACCAGCCTGAGCCCGAGGGAGGGGTCAAACATGTCATCAGCCTTGAGTCTAGGGGTGAAATCCAGCAGGTTCTGACAGGTTCTGGAGAACCGGTAGCGGAAATTTTGAGTAGTTCAGAGAACCGGCAGATATCACCTCTGGCTGGTCCCAGAGTGGGGTGGGAATGGGGATTTTGCAATATCCTTCCCCTAGGAGTGGGGAGGGAATGGGGATTTTGCAGTATCCTTCCCCTGGAGTGGCGTGGGAATGGAGATTTTGCAGTATCCTTCCCCTGCCACGCCCACCAAGCCACACCATGCCCACCAAGCCACGCCCACAGAACCGGTAGTAAAAAAATTTGGATTTCACCACTGCTTGAGTCCCTTCGTGCCCATCAGAGATCTAAGTCCAGCCCACCTTGAATTCCTTTGACTCTTACCTCCCGCCAATTTGCTTTGACTGTTAGTAGTTCAGATTCTTGTAGAGAGCTTTAGAATACCATAAACCTATACAGGTAGTCCTCGACTTATGACCACGATTGAGCCCAGAATTTATGCTACTAAGTGAGAAATTTGTTAAGTGAGTTTTGCCCCATTTTACGACTATCCTTGTCACATTTGTTAAGTGAATTACTGCAGCTGTTAAGTTAGCGGCACAATTCTTCAGTGAATCTGACTTCCCCATTGACTTTGCTCATCAGAAGGTCGCAAAAGATGATCACACGACCCCAGGACACTGCAACCATCATAAATATGAAGCAGCGGCCAAGCATCCAAAGTTTGGGGATGCCTCAACGGTTGTTAAGTGTGCAAAACGGTCACAAGTCACTTTTTTCAGGGCCGTTGTAGCTTTGAACTGTCACTAAACGAACTGCTGTAAATCAAGGACTACCTATATAATCATTTGAACTTCCTGCCTGGACTCTACGCTTGACATGACATGGGAAGAGTCGCAAAGGCGAGACAGGCTTGGCTCAGACTGCTGAAGGTCCTCCAAGGCCTTACCCATGGCAGCTTCATCGTCAGGTGGCCCCTCGTAGAGAAGCTCACAGCGGTACTTCTGAGCAGTGACGGGGGAAGGTAGATGAATGGTGATCATCTGAAGCAAAGCCTCTCCAGCAGGTAACCAGCGACGCATAACAGCCTGGAAAACACACATACGGAGAAGCCCTGAAGAAGTGCTACCTGAGCTACGGATCAATCACATAGCTTTCCCTCTTCAAAAAGGTCACAAAAACAACAGGGCACCTCCCGTTCTTCCAAAATGCAGGGCAGTTCTGCCTAAGGCTTGCGTGAAGCTTTGCAGCGTCCCTTGAGCCAACCCATCTGGACAAGATCACGCCCAGCCTTGCTACCTCAAGACGGCACCTGCAATTCTCAGTGCACACTGCTTGCTTACCACTGTTGTGTTAAAAGGACACACATACACACGCCATTTCAAAAAACCTTGAGAAGCGGCTTTCCTTCTTTCTCTCGATCTTCAGCGTCTAGCTTGATGTCCAGTTTTTCTATCAGCTTGGATGTTTCTTCTTTCTTGAAGTTCATGATGGCATCGAAGACCTGAGGGGGGAGGGAAAAAGAAATTAAATGTAATCATCAACTCTGCTAGTTAAGAACCGGTATCTGAAAGAGAAGCCCATCTGAGAATTTCCTCTGGGCCTACAATATAGCGTCCTCTTATCTGGGAGTAAGTAAGGTCTACTGATTTTTACCGGTCTTACTTCTAAGCTGATAAGTTTAGTAAGTCAGGTTTCATCAAATATCAGTTGTGCTGACAATTTACAAAAGGTTTCCTTCCTAATGTCGCAGTCCACCAGATTGTGCTCTCTCAGTAAATTCTTTTGAAGGCTCTTGGCATTCTCAGGTTCATGAAACTGGGCCCTGCCATTATGTAAAGTGGCCCACTTGCTCCTTCTACATTCTTTGCTGAAACATGCAAAGGAAGGAGAATCTGAGTTGGTCCCTGGGATCAGAGGTTTACTCTTTCAAACTTTCATGCTGGAACCCATCCTCAGGGAACTTCTCTTTTTTCAGAATAGGTGTACTGGGTTGTTCTACCCACTGGTTGTGTGTAGCTATTAGTTGTTAATTAAGGCATTAATGGCCAACTATTAAGTTGTTAATTATTGTTTTCTCATGCCGCTGTGCCATCCTACCTGGTAGGCTGATGGTAAATCAGCACTCCTATTGACTGACAAGAGCCTGTTTTTCAGGCTTCAATCATTTCTCTAGCTGTTTTTGTCCCTGCTCGACCAGCAATCATAATAGCTGTGAAATTAAACGCATTGCGAGTTTTGAGTTCAACTGAGTTCATTGCAATGTGAGGCTACCGTCTAGCCTTGCTACCTCAAGATGGCACCTGCAATTCTCAGTGCACACTGCTTGCTTACCACTGTTGTGTTAAAAGGACACACATACACACTCCATTTCAAAAAACCTTGAGAAGCGGCTTTCCTTCTTGAGTCCTCGTCTAACCGCTCATTCATGTTCTTAATATCTGTGGTTAGCTTCCTCCCCATCGGTCCTACATAGTCAGTCACAGGGACAATCCATACAGGATTGGTAGTCTCATTTTGCAATGAACAAGGACATGCATTCAATTTTGCAGCTACTACTATTGTTGGCCGAGCAGGGACCAAAATAGCCAGATAAATTATTGAAGCTTGGGAGAAGGGCCCCTTGTCAATCAATAGGTGTGCTGATTTACCACCAACCTACTAGTTACTTTGGAGTTGAGAGCTCAGCAGCACAAGGAAACAATTAATAGCCAGCCATCAACATCCTAATTAACAACTAAAAGCTACACACAACTAGGCACCATATAAATACAACATGTAAAATAGACCAGCGCACATTTTCTGAAACAGGCTATAACATTCATTTAAATCCAAGGACCTTGGCTTAACTTATGTGGGAGGGATAGGAATAAAATCAAGCTACTTCACTGTGAACTAAAATCCATTTATTCCAGGACCGCTGCATTAAGGCAGGAGAAGTCTGTCCATTGGGAATAAGAGTCTTTCAAGTTGCACTAGAAAGACGCTTCTAAAGATGTGGCCACCAATTTATGAATACTCGTGTGAAGGTATTTCATTTTTTGGTCTTTTGCCAATTACACGTTCTTGAAAATATGAATGTCGTCGGTGAAATGTATGAACGTCAAAGTGTGACATTTGAAAAGCAGATTACTTAGCATTCAATGTTATAAGAGTGTTTTGGTGAGTCCCAGCATTACCTTAAAAATGGGATCCAGGATAAGTTGGCAGAAAGTCCGTGGCAACTTCTTCCCATCAGGGCCAGCTGCGGATTTGCTGAATTTCCCTGTTGCTGGGTCAAAATACCTAAATGAAAATTGGACCTGTTTTACATTCATGGGCTAAAGAAGAGAGAAAGAAACAGGCCTTGATGCTACCTCCTCTGGACAAAATGGCTCATATACCATTAATACCAATCAGCCCAGCACCATAGGATCACACATCATTCCACTCTACTTCCGTGTTCAAAACAAAGGAAACCAAATATTATTGTTGTTGTTTGTCTCACAGTCAGCCAAATGTTCAGGCTGGATTTGGCATTTTTGCCTACCTATCGTCCTATCAAATCCTTTTCAAGGACTTGGAATAGGCAGATGTGGATGTTTGATGGTGATAAAAGTATCATTGAAGGTTGGAAGCTTGTCCCCCAGTAAAGCCACCTTTTGCAATTGACTGATGGCGAATTTGTCAATGCCAATCAATGGTGGTGCTCCAGTTGTTGCACCCAAGGCACCTATTACTATTGGTACTACCCTTGCTTGCCTTTGCCACCGTCGTTCTATTTCTATTTTCAGCTCTTTGTATTTTTGTCTTCTCCAGTTTTTTCTCTTCTATTCTGCTATACAGGTAGTCGACTGACAGCAGTTCATTTAGTGACCGTTCAAAGTTACGACAACACTGAAAAAAGTGACTCATGACTGTTTTTACACTTACGCCCTGCGGTCACACGATCTAAATTCCGATGCTTGGCAACTGACCCATGTTTATGACCGCTGCAGTTCCCCAGGCTCATGTGATTCCCCTTTTGCAACCTTCCGACAAGCAAAGACAATGGGGAAGCCAGATTTACTTAACAACGGCAACGATTCACTTAACAACTGTGGCAAGGTCGCAGAATGGGGCAAAACTCACTTAGCAAACGTTTCGCTTAGCAACGTAAATTTTGGGCTCAATTTGTAATTGTAAGTTAAAGACTACGTGTATTACCTCGCCATGGGGCTGTAGATAGCTTACAACAACATTAAAAAATGTGCTTTATTGCAGCCAGATAGATGCCATTTCTTCTTAGACCCACCCTGTATTATCTTGCTTTAACAAAAGGTGCAACCGGAAGGCATCATTCTGCAAACCTGGATCCAAGGCCCTCCTTCCCTAAAGTGTATCCACCTGAGACCGAAGACAGGGATGCTATTTACTCACTTGTCTCCCCACAGCTTCTTCATCATGTCCTCCACTTTCTTGGCCCTGTCAGGTGCGGAGAGCTGGGCCTTTTCTCCTCTGGCTGCAAATTTGGCCACGTACATTTCGGCAAACTGCTTCAAGGTGAACGCCCAACCGTGCAAGCCAGAGCCAAAGCCAACAGTACCGATCACGGGGTCGATCTGTAAGCAAAGAAAGGGATTCAGGTGTTTTAAAAGAACACGGAGAAGGTAGTCTACTTGGAGAGCCAATCCCTCAATTAAAAGCAAGCAGCAGAAACCCCAAACCAACCTATTCAATTGCACCTAGCCTGCAGCAGCGCTCGATTGGTTCCCCCCCACCCCAAAAAAGGAGTGTTATAAATGTAGCACACAACGGATAAAAATACAGGTAGTCCTTGACTTACAACAGTTCATTTAATGATCGTTCAAAGTTACAGCGGCACTAACAAATGTGACCGATGACCGTTTTTCACACGACCCTTGCAGCATCCCCACAATCATGTGATCAAAATTCAGATACTTGGCAACGGGTTCCTGTTTATGACGGTTGCAGTGTCCCGGGGTCAAGTGATCCCCTTTTGCGAGCTTCTGACAAGCGAAGTCAATGGGGGAAGGCAGATTCACTTAACAACCAGGTTACTAACTTATCAACTGCAGTGATCCACTTAACCAACGCGGCAAGAAAGGACGTTAAAATGGGCCAAAACTCACTTAACAAATGTCTCACTGAACAACAGAAATTTTAGGCTCAATTGTGGTCGTAAGTCGAGGACTACCTGTAATGTATTATTTATTCAGCCAATTTGGTTAAGGGTAACGATGGGCAATCAGGGCAATTTTACGACCTGTGGATTTCAACTCCCAGAGAATTTCTGAGCCAGCCAATAATGCTGGCTGGGGAATTCTGGGAGTCGAAGTCTGCAGGTCATAAGGTTGCCATAGTTGCCCGTCCCTGATCTAGAGGTTAAGGCACCAGGCTAGAAACCAGGAGACTGAGTTCTGTTCCTGCTTTGGGCATGACAACCGGCTGGGGTGACCTTGAGTCAGTCACTCTCTCTCAGCCCATGACGTCAAGCTCAGGCAACAAGCCCACTGGTCGGTCGGTCGGTCTGTCTGTCTGTCTGTCTGTCTGTCTGTCTGTCTGTCTGTCTGTCTATCATCTATCTATCTATCTATCATCTATCTATCTATCTATCTATCTATCTATCTATCTATCTACCTACCTACCTACCTACCTACCTACCTACCTACCTACCTACCTATCTATCTATCTATTTATTTATTATTTAGTTCGATTTATATGCCGCCCTTCTCCGGAGACTCAGGGCGGTTTACAATGCTTTAAGCAATAGCCTTCATACTTTTGTATATACCTGCTTAATAGGGCTTTTTTGCCCCCCCCCCACAGCGGTGTTCTATTTTATACAAAGTCAGCTTATTGCCCCCACAAACCGGGTCCTCATTTTACCTACCTCGAAAGGATGGAAGGCTGAGTCAACCTTGAGCCTGGTGAGAATTGTACTCGCAGTAATTGCAGGCAGCTGGCAGCCAAGTGCTACTTTAACAATTCCTGTCACAATTTAACAATTCCTGTCACAACCAATAATCAAACACTTGGCTGATTAGAAAAAAACAGGCCGTGCACTTGCAGGAAAATATCAGGAAGAAAACAAAACTTTTTTTAAAAAAAAATCCAGACTTCTCCAAAGTTGGCACCTTTTAGACTTCTGGACTTCCAACTCCCAGAATTCCTCAGCCAGCCAGCTCTGGAGGAGGGGAGGGGAGGAGAGAGTTGGAAGGGACCTTGGAGGTCTTCTAGTCCAACCCCCTGCTCAGGCAAGAAACCATATCATTTCAGACAAATGGTTGTCCAATCTCTTCTTTAAAACTTCCAGTGTTGGAGCATTCACAGCTTCTGAAGGCAAGTTGTTCCACTGATTAATTGTTCTAACCTTCAGGAAATTTCTTTTTAGTTCCACTCTCCTTGATTAGTCTTTGACTCAGATTTAGCTTTGAGATCAGACAGAAAAGGACCCTGTTCCTCAGGGTTTGACTTTTTTCCCCCTACCCAGCGATGCTTAAGATAGCTTCTGGGACCACATATGTACAGGTAGTCCTCAACTTGCAACCATTCATTTAGTGGCCATTCCAAGTTACAGCAGTACTGAAAAAAAGTGACTTACAACCTTTCCCCACGCTTACGACCATTGCAGCATCCCCATGGTTGTGTGATCAGAATTCAGATCCTTGGCAATTGGGCATGTATTTGTGACAACTGCAGGGTCCCCGAGTCATAGGATCCCCTTTTACGACCTTCTGACATGCAAAATCAACAGGGAAACCAGATTCGCTTAACAGCCGTGTTAACAACTGCAGTGATTCAACTTAACAACTGTTGCAAGAAAGGTGGTAAAAATGGGACAACATTCGCTTAACAGCTGTTAAGGCGAGGACTACCTGTGTGGTAATCCAACCCCTCCCCAAACATTAATGCTTGTAGTACAATCTGGATTATGCAAAGGTCCTATTCTTTGCATTGGATTGTGTCCAGCAGAGCGTTTCCCAATGGCAGCCATTTTAAGATGTGTGGACTTCAACTCCCTGGGGAATTCTGGGAGTTGAAGTCCACGCATCTTAAAATGGCTGCCGTTGGGAAACACTGGTCTAGCGCAACATCATGCAAACGCAACCCTACGGAACTAACTTCCTCCTTGCTCCAATCTCAACGTAAGTTCTCTTTACCATAATATTACCCATGGGTCCAGTTTCACCCTCTCCGTAAGTAGAAATGATCACATTGACGTTCTCCACAATGCGCTGGAAGGTCTGGTAAAGCTCCTCGGGTTCTAACTGCAGTTCCAGCAGAGCGCGGTCCATCTTGTTCATCATCAGGACGGGCTTGATGCGCTCAGCAATCGCCTGGCGAAGGACGGTCTCCGTCTGCACGCAAACCCCTGGAAGGGAAAGTTGACCACCGGTATGATCTAAGCCAGGAAGGTCAAACACAAGGCCCACGGGCCAGATCCAACCGGCGATGTGGGTCGGGTCCGGCCCACAGAGCCATCCTGGAAAATGTAAGGAGCCAGCCCATATCTCTTCGGTGTCAAGTTTCCGAAAGATGCCCTAATTAATTCATGAGCCATGATCCAAACTTCAAAGGAAATATAGTCATTTATTAGGAGCACCATTTCGGCAATACTGGGATGCAGTTAGGACTGATCCTCCGTAGATTTACATTCCCCTATGACCCTGTCTCTCCCCTCCTCTCTGGCCATGTCATAAATCACATTCTCCAATTAACCACTTTGGCTGGCTGTGAAACCTAACGCCCTCCTTCTGATTGCAGTCAGAAAGAATGTTATGGAATTCACTTCAGTTCTCCTTCCCTCCTGCTCATGGCAACTTGAAAGCTTTGCAAGTTGACATTCGGTCCAGTCTACCCAGTGCGAAGAGGAAACATGCCAGCAATTTGGAGAGTAGCATCAAGCTGGCCACACCCACCCAACTGGCCACACCCACTCAGTCCCATCCCGTCCCACACCAAGGTCAACCACAACCCTCATGCGGTCCTCAATGAAATTGAGTTTGACACCTCTGATCTAGGCTAATTCCAGAGAAGAACTGGTTGCTGAAAAGTTCCAGTATTCCAAAACTGTCAAAATTTTGGGCAGCTTTGGTGAAAAGAAGAAAAACATTACTGACTTCCTGCCAGTACTAACTAATCTTATATTGTTTTAATTTAAAAGATACACATCCCCTTTCTCAGCACTTAAAAGAGGAGAAGACTATGGTGTTGTATATCCTCAAGGCTTTGTGTTCTTACTGGCTTTCTCTGGAAAGCACAATGTTCCTGCGCAATTAAAGCATCTTAATTTTAAGTACATTCACCTGAAACACAGTCAACGACAACAAGAGCTCCATCAGTGACGCGAAGGGCTGCTGTGACTTCGGAGGAGAAATCCACGTGCCCAGGGGAGTCAATTAAATTAATGAGGAAACCGGAGCCATCTTTGGATTGCTTGATAAAGGCCAAATCGTGTTCTGAGAGCTCATAGTAGAGAGAAATGGCCCTAGAAAAGAAGACAAATGATTTTCCTAAAGCACATTTAAATTCACGTAAAACATCTGCATATAATGCTGTGCCCTCTGGGTGCGCAGGAACCACAACTCCCATAATCCTCAGGCACCAGGGCTGGGTGGGCACTAAAGTAAACTAAGGCACCACCGCGTAAGACTCCTTAGTTTATCAAAGTGCAAATCTTGGAAACCAGACATTGAGTTCTCATTTTCTCTGTCATTCCCAACTCTCCTCTAGAAAGTCGTAACTTCTGAGTTTCCAGCTACGTATAAACAAGCCTCTGCATTTTAGGAAAGTTTTGCTGGCATGGCCATTGAGATTTTAGCTTTATGGATTTTTTTTTTAACATATACAAACACTAAAATTAAAAAGGACAATTTAAACAAGAAATGTTGATGAGGAATACAGAAATAACAGGATAACAAGAATGATAACATGAAATGGTTGGTCTTCTTAAGTCCAACCCCTTGTTCTAGCAAAAAACCCTGCACCATTTGAGACAAAGAGTTGTCCAATCTCTTCTTAAAAATTCCCAGTGTTGGAGAATTCACAACTTCTGGAAGCAAATTGTTCCACTGATTAATTGTTCTGTCAGGAAATTTCTCCTTAGTTCTAGCTTCTCTCCTTGCTCAGTTTCCATCCGTTGCTTCTTGTCCTGCCTTCATGTGCTTTGGAGAATCTACTGATGCCCTCCTCTGTGGCAGCTCCTCAAATATTGGAACACTGCTATCATATCACCCCTAATCCTTCTTTTCATTAGACATCCCCAATTCCTGCAATTATTCTTTATATGTTTTAGATGATTGAATTTGAATTAAACTGTTGAGTTAAATGAAATAAGCTGACCATCTCCATACAGCACATTTAACTTGCTGCCGAATTCATTCATGTTCGCCATTTTCACGATATACTGAACCATAAATCAACCAATTCAATAAATCACAAAAACTCTCGGTGAGGTAGTAACTAAGTTTAGTGTGTTGTACACATTCATTCATCCACAAGTCTTTATCTGATTTGCTTCAATGTCTTTTGTAAAGATGTAAAGCCGTGTTTCTCAATCTTGGCAACATTTTAACAAATTGCATCCCTGTTTGGTTTGGTGGCAGCAATACCTCAGACAGAAAGTCCATACAGAGAGTGGTAAGTGACAATCAAGTTATTATTCTATTCTATTCTATTCTATTCTATTCTATTCTATTCTAGTCTAGTCTAGTCTAGTCTAGTCTAGTCTAGTCTAGTCTAGTCTAGTCTAGTCTAGTCTATTCATTATGAAGATATGTGGACTTCAACTCCCAGAATTCCCCAGCCAGCATGGCTGGCTGGGGGATTCTGGGAGTTGAAGTCCACACATCGTAATGTTGCTAAGGTTGAGAAACACTGATGTAAAGTATATCATGGCATTTCTTTATTTTGTATGCTGCTCGTACAAATAATGCAGAAATGCATCCTTACTTGGGAAGAATAGTGTGGCCTTCATTCTAACCATGTTTGATAAGCCGATGCCATGTTTGTTTCATGTGATGTTAATGCTGGTAGTGCTCGACTTACAACCATTCGTTTAGTGACTGAAGTAACAACAACACTGAAAAAAATGACTTATGACCGGTTTTCACACCTACCACCGTTGCAGCATCCCCCATGGTCACGTGATCAAAATTCGGGCATTTGGCAACTAACTCATCGTTATGACAGTTGCAATATTTTAAAGCAGCGGTCTCCAACAACTCCAGCTTGGCAGACTGGCAGGAGTGGGGGAGAGCGGATGGTTTCATGTGAGTGGCAGGTGTGTGCACAAGTGCACACAGCTCCATTTGAACAAGTGGTGGGCACGCATGCCCACCACTCGCACAAGTAGAGCTTCACACGCAAGCACAAGCACCTGCTGTTCACACAAATGGACCTTCGCACACATTGCCCGCCTTTTGCGCAGCCCAGTTCTGAACAGGCCACGGCAGTGGTGAAATGTAAAATTTGTTACTACCGGTTCTGTGGGCGTGGCTTGGGGGGTAATGTGACTGGGTGGGCCAAAGAGGTTGTAGAAAAAATGCTTTTAAAAGCCTCTAGTGATCCCAGCTGAGCCGTGCAATCATCAGAGGCTTTTTTTTTTTACTTTTAAAAGCATTTTTTCGGCCAAAGAAAAAATCGGTGGGTGGGTGGGTGACAGAGATTTTTGCTACCGGTTCTCCGAATCACCCGTTGCCATCGCTACTGGATCAGGCGATCCGGTCCGAACCAGGAGCATTTCATCCCTGGGCCACGGCCTGGTACTGGGCCTCAGCCCTGGGGGTTGAGGACCCCTGTTTTAAAGAGCATGTCAACTTCGAACTGAACCTGGCCGCAGCCATCCTTCTGTTCCTCAGTTGCCACACAGAGGGGGAAGGGGGTTGGAATGCATTGTAGACACAACAAAGAGCTTTCTCCTGAGAACCAAAGTAATCTCTAGTGTCTGGTAACAGATAAGGTTCTGCCAATTAACACAACTGGCCAACGTGACCTGTGACACTTGGAGATGGGGTTATTTCCTAGTTTAATTATACTGAAACCACGGGAAAGGTTTAGATTTGGTTTTCCATTGAAGCTGTGCTGATATGATGTCCTCATTAAAGACGACCTTTGAGAAGGAGCTCAGTCTCAGAGTCCTGATTTGCTTGAGTTTGTTAGTCGGATCCTTGGCAGAGCATTTTACTGGGTGCTACTATGAACAAGAAACAACTTGGCAAGTCTAAGTTACAAGAGTCAGATACTCTAACCCAGGGGTCTGCAACCTTAAACACTCAAAGAGCCATTTGGACCCATTTCCCACAGAAAACAAAACACCGGGAGTCACAAAACCTCGGTGGGCGTGGCCAACTCGACATCACTCACTTTCACCAGTCACATGACTTCCTAGCCACGCCTACCCAGCTGGTCATTAGGGCAGAGAACCGGTTGTTAAAAAAAAAAAAAAACCCTTTTGACATCTCTCTCTCTCTTCCCCCCTCTCTGTATCTCTCTGTCTCTGCCCCGGCTGCTTCTCCATCCCCTGCCATCGCCTTTATCTTCTCAGGCCAGGCGAGGAGTGACTGGGAGGGGAGGGCGAGGGGTGGGGCCAGCCAGTGGTGGAATCATCCAACAGAGAGCCACAACAGAGGTCCCAAAGAGCCACATGCGGCTCTGGAGCCGCAGGTTGCAGACACCTGCTCTAACCTATAAAATCAGTCAAGAGTGAATTTTTCAAAAAAACCTAGCATAAATCAATTGGAAGTCTGCTGTCTTCAGAACACTCCATTTGTAACTGGTGTTTAATTTTTGTTTTGATAGTCAAAAAGGACTGCAGATAAAAGTGAACAACACTCACGTAGATTTGATTGTGATACACCTTTCCTGCTCGTCTTTCCGTGTGTCAGTAAATCGTGTTTCACCAGCCCTGGCAGAAGCGATGATACCCGCTTTACACACTAAGGAATCTGTAAGCGTGGACTTGCCATGATCAACATGGGCAATCACCGACATGTTTCTGATGTTGGACTTTTTGTCCATGATCGCTCGGATCTGGTCTACTGTAAAATTCACCTGAAAGTGAAGAACAGAAAGTAAATATAAAGAGACAGGGAACATAACTGGGGAAGGTTTTATTCCATAAATATTTCATAGAAACTAAAACAGAAAGCTTTTGTGGCATTTATTTATGTGCTTTCAAAGGTGATGCTGGCTCTAACAACCACACAGAATTTCTCCCTGACTATCTCTTACCTGATTCTTCAGTTCTTCCAATGGTGTACCTATCTTTGCTGTGACTCAGTGGTCCCTAACCCTTCTGGCTCTGAGAAACCGGTGGCAGCAATGGGACGGAGGAAATGGTTTTGTGTGTGTGTGTGCCGCTTGCACAAATGCAGCTTTGTGCATACACACATTCTTGCATGACCCAGTTCCTAAAGGGGTACGGACCGCTACCAGGCTGCAGACTGCAGTAAACTGACTCTATTCTTGCTGCTGGCCTTCATCTCTCCTCCTCGTTCATTCCATCTTTCCCATCATCAGCGCCTTCTCTAGAGAGCTAAGTCTTCACATAATGCATTAAGACAGGGTCTCCAACTTGGCCACTTTACAACTTATAGACTTCAGCTCCCAGAATTCTGTGAGTTGAAGTCCACAAGTCGTAAAGTTGCCAAGGTTGCAGACCCTGCATTAAGATATAATATTAGGCCTCTGTAATATCGATCAGGTGTTTTTTTGTTTTGTTTTTTTAAATGACTTTACTGGAATAATATTGTACTGTAGTCCAGTTGAAATGAATTTTGCAATTTTCCTTTTCAACTTTATCTTGGGATCCTAATCATAGCCTGCATTGCAAACTGTTACTTTTCAACAGAATTAAAACAATGAATTTTAATGTTAATTGTTGCTCAGGTATGCATAGTTAATTCAGTTGTCAGAAGCTTTCTGTGCTGCTAGGCTCACTCCTGGCTTTTCAATTATAAAAAAAAACTGATATCATTAAAACTATCAAATTAAGCTGTCAGCCATCAATATTCTTGCTTTGTGAATACAGGATCATAATTATTTCACAGATAGCTAATTATCTAGTGTACTATTCCCATATGAGCAGAACATGCTATGGTAATCTCAATTCTACCTTTTAAATAACCAAAAACAAGTTATAGCAACTGTATTATCAATCTATAGTATCTTCTGTAATTGACTATCATGACACAGCTGAATTATTTTGGCATTTGTTGGGTTTTGTAGTTAAAAATGAGACTTTAACCCAGGGGCGTCTAACCTTGAAAAGGTTTACGATTTGTGGACTTCAACTTCCAGAATTCCCCAACCAGTGTGGCTGGCTGGGGAATTTCGGGAGTTAAAGTCCCAGATCTTAACTTTTCCAAGGTTAGAGGCCTGCTTTAACCATTCCTCTCATCAAAACAATGATATCATTAGCATCTTGCTATAGCAGAGCAAGTAAATTTTTTCTTCAATCATTAGGACTGTTATGCAGTCATTCACTTGGACAATTTTTGCCCCTTTCTGTTGTACTTTTCAAGTTGGGCAGAAAACTTTTTACTTGCCATGCTAGTGAGATGTTAATGAATATCATTGCTTTGATGAGAGGAATAGTTAAAGCAACGGTATCCGACCTTGGAAGAGTTTAAGATCTGTGGACTTCAAGTCCCAGAGTTTCCTCAGCCGCATTCCCAAAGCTGGGAACAGTATATCTAAAGTTCCTGGGCCTTTGGCCTTCCAACTCATCTAAAGCATGGTCTAAAATAAACCAAGCCAGCTGCTTCTTGAGATGTGTGACACTTGGCACTGACAATGCAACTGGAAGGGGCTTGAAGCATAAGACTCAACCAGCATACACTCCCCACTCTGACAATCCCATTTCTCTAGAGCAGGGCTGTCCAACCTTGGCAACTTTAAGACTTGTGGACTTCAACTCCCAGAACTCCCCAGCCAGCATGGCAACTTTAAGACTTGTGGACTTCAACTCCCAGCATTCCCCAGCCAGCATGCAACTTTGCATGCTGGTTGAGGAATTCTGGGAGTTGAAGTCCACAAGTCTTAAAGTTGCCACGGTTGGGCAGCCCTGCTCTAGAAGGCACAGGAGGGAATTCTGGGAGTTGAAGTCTACAAGTCTTAAAGTTGCCAAGGTTAGACAGCCCTGCTCTAGAAGGCACAGGAACCTAAGTGTTCATTTGTGAAAGCTCTCACCATGCCTTGATTCAGCAGTGTGTGCATGTCCCTGGGCCAGAGAGAGAAGGGCAACCGGCTGACAGTTACAATTGTGGAGTTAGCCAGCAAAGGCAGCCAAAGTCTGTGAAGTCCCTCCATTTCTACAAAGAGTTGTCAGTTATGATTAAAGTAACTGCAAATTTTTTACTTGCTAAGTCGCCATGGAGATGATGGCACTAAGGATGATATATTAAACATGTATGCCGTCCAATTGTGGATCTTTTGCATGGAATGAGATTTTATTACAAAGCAAAATGGTAGTGGAGGATTATAAAAAGAAGATAGAGAATTTTTAAAAGAACAATCTTAATAAAAAATATAAAAGTAAGAAGATTTGGGGTATAAGTGAAGCTCTTGTAAGAGGGTATTTTATACAACACAATAGCAGATTTAAAAAGAAAAAGGGAAGAAAATATACTAATGATTTCGAGTGAGATTGAAAAAAAAAGATCTTTAAAATTCTCCAGGGATGACAACTATTATTCACCAAATTAAGCTTTTACAGATGCAATTATCTATGCTAGCAGTGAGAGACAGGGAATTAAAGATGAACTTGTAAGAAAAAGACATTTTGAATCTGCAAATAAACCAGAGATGGTTGGCATATAAAATAAAAAAGAAAAGAAATGAAAGTTATGTTAAAAGTTACAAAAAGGAAATACTGTAAGTACAGATAATGCAAATATGCAAAATGTGTTTCTTTCCTATGATACAAAGGTCAAGAAATACCTTTGGACAAAGTGGATGAATGCTAGCAGAGATTACTGAAGGTTACTGACAATCAAAGATAATTTTTGAATGGATCTTTAACAATATAGATGAAGCTATCAAAAAGACTAAAAACAGAATAATTAATTATTTATGGTTTTGATAATTAGGCTGGATAGATTACAGAAAGAAAATCATGTGGTAACTTTAGAAAAAAAGGTAAATTTATAATTGTACTTATAACTGCTATAAAGAAGATCTGAACCTACTTTTTTTATCTTTTATCTTTTTCTTTTTTTTTCTTTTTCAAATTTCCTTTGATTTCTTTCTTTTTTACTTTAAATTGGTTTGCATTAGATTTTATCTTATTGTTTAAGAGTTTCAATAAAATTATGTATATATATATAAAAAAGGAATCGCCCTTAGCTATTTTTCTATCGCAGCTTTTAGTAGCTGTATGTGTAAAGAGCTTACAGGATAAGCTTAGATAATAAAAGTTTATTGTACTGTACCTCTTGCTGTGAAAACATTTTATAATATTAGTTTTCAGTCCCATTACAGTGTAAAACTCTCACTAGGATTTATTTCTGGGTAACTGAGCAGAGTAATCCTCCTATAACCCAAAGTATCTCTACCACCCTCTTAATGTCAGTATCAGTTTTTAAAGAGTTATATATTTGATCTATTAATGAAAGCCATTGTTGAGGATCCATTCTGTTTCTTTCCCACTATTATTTACTGCTATACAGGGGGAGAGAAAGAATAAATACGATGATATTTCTGCAATGGGAGAGACATATCGATTCAGATTCTCAGTCATCCAGGTCATGGTTGTTCCAAAAAGGTGCTTTTTCAAAAGGCAACTGGACTTTCTTTGTTTTGGCTTGAAGGCATTTCACTTCTCATCCAAGAAGCTTCTTCAATTCTGAAGAAACTGCAGAAGTTCTGAAGAATTGAAGAAGCTTCTTGGATGAGAAGCAAAACGTCTTCAAGCAAAACCATAGGAAGTCCAGTTGCCACCTTTGGGACAATGGGAGGGAGAGTTTATTGAATTGGAAAGCAATTATTTTCGCTTAGCCAAATGCGTGAACATGGTCTTCTATATACAGAAGAGACAGTTATTTGTTATTTGCTTATTTATTAAATCTAGAAGGGTGCATAACTCTATCAAGACTCTGGGCTGGGTATAATATCAATACTTCAAACCCATTCGAAAGCCACAAAAGTCTGGAGAAGAATAAACACAAAGTCGGGGGGGGGGTATTTTAACGGCCTGTTTAAACAAAAGCAAAGTGCGAAGGTCAGAATGCAAACAATGAAATTGAAACATACAAGATGTTTCAACTTGCTCCTACTTTTGGTTTTTCCTCATGCAGACTAAGGAAGCAGCTGACAACGATTTCACAAGACTCTGGATATTGCTATCCCATTATCTCTGATCACTGCTCATTGAATTTATGAGAGTTGCAGTCCAGTATCATCTATACAAAAGCAGATTTCTTATCTACACCTGATGAGAATTTGCTGCAAACATGCTACAAAAATCCGTAACCCCTAAAAAGGCAATACTTTGTAAAATAATGCTTAAAGCTAATAAACAAGTCTTCTCACAGAAAAGAATTTGTCCTTTTCATGGCTGTTTTTGGCACTCAAGAGATGCACTAAAAGAGAGAAGTGAAGAAATATGGGTGCCTTTCATTACATGGTTGTCATAGGCAGATTGTGATTCATATTATTATTATTATTATTATTATTATTATTATTATTATTATTATTATTATTTAGATTTATATGCCGCCCTTCTCTGGAGACTCAGGGCAGCTTACAATGCATTAAGCAATAGCCTTCATGTATATACCTGCTTAGTAGGGCTTTCGGGGCCCCCCAAGTGGTGTTCTTTTTTATACAAAGTCAGCTTATTGCCCCCACAATCCGGGTCCTCATTTTACCTACCTCGGAAGAACGGAAGGCTGAGTCAACCTTGAGCCTGGTGAGATTTGAACTTGCACTAATTGCAGGCAGCTGGCAACTTAAGTGCTACTTTAACAGCACTTAGTCCACTGCGCCACCAGGCTCAGTGATTAACAAAGTCAGGTAGGAGGTCCAATGAACAAAATCCTTTTTTTAAAAAAATTAATAAATATACACGGAGGTTTTATGCCAAGCAGATAAAACCATCTGGTAAAGTAGCCATCTAACTTAGCCCTTAGATCAGGGGTCACCCAACCTCTGGGCCGTAGCCCACTACTGGGCTGCGTCCTATTGATTCTGTCATCTGCACCTCCATAACTGTCTGGTTTGGCTTTGCAACCCAACAAGGCAGACACAGACTTCAGAGGGTAATTAGAACTGCAGAAGAATTGCTAGCAACCTGCCTTCCATGGAGGACCTGTATACTGCGCGAGTCAAAAAGAGGGCTGTGAAAATATTTACAGACCCCCTCGCATCCTGGATATAAATTCTTTCAACTCCTACCCTCAAAACGACGCTATAGAGCACTGCACACCAGAACAACTAGACACAAGAACAGTTTTTCCCCCATGCCATCACTCTGTTAAACAACTAATTTCCACAACACTGTCAAACTATTTACTATACTACTAGTATTACTATTATTCCTCTCATCCTTCCTATTACCTACGGTATTTCCTTTTCTACTTATGACTGTAACTTTGTTGCTTGTATCTTTACGATTTATATATTGTTTTATATATTTAGTTTACTAGTGTGATTTATGTTGATTGCTTATATAATATCCTGTGACTATCACTAAGTGTTGTATCTTATGATTCATGATGAATGTATTTATGATGACCACGAGCATGATTCATCACTTATATCTTTATGTACACTAAGAGCTTATGCACCAAAGACAAATTTCCTTGTGTGTTCAATCACACTTGACCAATAAAGAATTCTATTTTCCATTCCATTCCATTTTTTCTTTATTCTATTCTGTTGTGTTGTGTTGTGTTCTGTTCTCAACAGGACCGCATGAGCAGCAGGCCGGCATGCATGCAGCTCAACATGCACAAGCTGAGCTGCCCATGCATGGCTGTACACGCCAGCCCACTGCTCGCACGAGTATTTAAACTGTTGTAAGATGAGGACTATTTGTATATGCTAAATAATGATAATAATTGTAAGCCACTAACTTAATAAGATTCCAAGTCTCTTCGGTCTTACATCTTTATACTTGCTTATCTTTTTAGCAAAACCTAAGCGCTAATGTAGCTCTACTTTTAACTAAATCTGTCCTGATGCTCCTTTTGTACACTTCTACCCGATAATCCCAGCCAGGCCAGACAAGTCTCTCTCTCTCTCCCTCCCTACCTCCCTCTCCCTCCCTCTCTCTGCTGTAGCCTGGCAGTGCTCAACTCTGATTCCTGAAGCACTCCTATCAATGCTCTGGGTGTCCAGGTGAGATCTGCCAGCATCATGACCACACTGAAGCGTGGCTGGTGCACTTCCTAGGGTGAGCTCTTCCTGAATCGGTCCATGCTGAAGCTGCATCAGATGAACTTGTGAGACTTCTGGGCTCTCCTGCTGCTGGCAGCATCAGCTGCTTTCTTTGTCCCACCCCTCTTACCTGTCACTGAGCCACTGCTACCTCCAATGCTTCTCTGCCCTTTCAAAGTTGCACAGAAGATATTTCCTTTTCCCCTTGGCCTTGTTTTTTAACTCTTTTCTTTCTTCTCTTCCAGCTTCCTGGTATCTCAGTGGACGAACCCTGCCACAAAACTCTCTTCTGAGGCAACCAGGCTCCTTCCTAAAACTCTTTCTTCATAGCAAGGTAGAGCCCTTAAAAAAATCCAAGTAGGATTCTTTTGTATGGCATTCTTGGTGCCATCCAGCCCACACTTTCAAATTGATGCAGACTGTCTTGGACTCTTAGTTTATGACACGCTGATTTGGGGAGATGGAATGGAATGGATTGGAAATTAAATAGAAAAGAATTGGAATGGGAATGGGAATGGGAATGGGAATGGGAATGGGAATGGAATGGAATGGAATGGAATAGAATAGAATAGAATAGAAATATAGAAAGAGTGCAGAGAAGAGCAACAAAGATGATGAGGGGACTGAAGACTAAAACATACGAAGAACAGTTGCCGGAATTGGGTATGTCTAGTTTAATGAAAAGGAGGACTACAAGTGACATGATAGCAGTCTTCCAACTTTTTAGGGGCTGTCACAAAGAAGAGGGGCTCAACTCATTCTCCAAAGCACCTGAGGGCAGGACAAGAAGCAATGGATGGGAAGTAATCAACAAGAGGACCAACCTAGAACTAAGGAGAATTCTTCACATAGTTACTAGAATTAACTTAGTGGAACAGCTTGCCTCCAGATGTTGTGGGTACTCCATCACTGGAGGTTTTTAAGAAGAGATTGGACAGCCATTTGTCTGAAATGGTATAGGGTCTGCTGCTTAAGCAGGGGGTTGGACTAGACCACCTCCAAGGTCCCTTGCAATTCTGTTAATAATATAAGGCTCAATTCTTAATGTACATTTGCACGTTATGCTGGACTACAAGAGAGTTGGACAGTTTGTGGTTCAGAATCTTTTTCAGAATGCAGCCATTGTCATATGTTGTATGAATATGTTCATTACCTTAAGTTATAACATGGATTATTGTGGGAGGGAGCGCATAGGACAGTACATATACCCAGCAAATGTGGTTTATCCACACAAATTGAAATGCTACCTGAAACTCAGCCATTTTGTGCAAATATCTGTGGCAAAAGTCTAGACATTTATTTGGAAACAGGCTCTATTTTAGACAGTTCAAGACATTTCAGAATAAACCCAGCAAGGATTAGGACACGTGAATTTAAGAAATTACTGCTTTCTCTTAAAATATGCCAATATTATACTAAATAAACCAGATTAGAGCCACACAGACTCTCAGAACAAGGATAATGTTACGAGTCTACTTTATAGGTAAGGATTACTGAGAAAGCATGTAACAGTTAACACTTTAAATACTCTAAATATAAATTCTCATCCTTGAAAGCCACCTTCATTCTGTCTTTGGGTAAAATGCAACATTCTGATTGTGTTTCTTTAAATACGCTTGCTACATTCTGCAGCTATTTAAAGCTATGCAGATGGGGGTGGGGAAACTATCCCCCCCCCAAACATTCTTGCAGTTCCTGCTGCAGTATAAAAGATACTAAGAAAACACAGCTAATTTTTTCAGAGAATTGACATACAAAAAGATAGCAATTAATTTATTTTTAAAAAGAATACATAATGTGTTCTCTAGTTCACCACCTCAAATGTTTGTGCCTTAAATAACCTTGTGCAGTATTTCAAGGGACCCACAAAAGTCACTGCAATGAACATGTACTAGGATGAGATGATATTTTTTAGTATATGAATAATAGAGGAAGGAGGGCATTTACGCAGCTATTTAGAATATCAAGAAAGAAGTCCATATCTATAATATAAATGATTTGGGGGGGGGGATTAGAGCAAATATATCATCTTTGGGGTTCTGGATAGCCAATACATACAGGACATATTCTTCCAAATATTTCTTCACAGTTACAGAATAGCCCTTTAACAGGCCAATACTGTAAACAATGCTAGCAATCAAAGGAAAATCCCCTTGAATCAAGGAGGGGGAAAAAAGCCACAATCATATTCAACAGTGTCCAACTCACAGTGAGATTTTTAAAAAAATATTAGAGGAGACATTAGATGGGGGAAAAGGACTTGCACTGCTCAGATGCTTCAGTAAATAATTATAATAATGATAAATAGTCTGGAAAGTGAACATTGCAGCCTAGAAGAGAAAGAATGGTAGAAAATCGCAAAATACAAAGAGCCGCAAATAGAAGTAGAGAGCAACTGTGGCAAAAGGAAGCAGAGATAGTAAGTATCAATAGCAATAAGGTGCCTTAGGTGCAATCCCAAAACATCTGGAGCGTTATTTGAACCACCATTGCCTTTGACAAAAATCCTCAACTGCAAAAAAGACAGCTCTCGCCTTGGAACAATTTACATCCTGCGACGGATACCATCATCATCATCATCATCATCATTATTATTATTTAATCTTTAGTGAGATTCACAGCCTTTGAGGCTGGTTAATAGCTCAGCAGCTCGGGTCCTAACCAAGGACCTAGGAACTGTTAAGGTATTGTATTATTATTATTATTATTATTATTATTATTATTATTATTGGTTAATCTTTAGTGAGATTCACAGCCTTTGAGGCTGGTTAATAGCTCAGCAGCTCGAGTCCTAACCAAGGACCTAAGAACTGTTAAGGTATCGTTGGAGGATGTAAGCTGTTCCGAGTAAGGTGGTTTTTGTAGAGTCAAAATGTTCAAGTCTGGCAAATTTAGAATTTCTAAATAGCGGGGTAGCCCTTTGGGTATTGCTCCAAGGGCTATTATTATTATTATTATTATTATTATTATTATTATTATTATTATTATTCATCTGCCTATCCTGGGTGGTTGGGAAGGGACCTCCATAGGTGGCCCAAAATGCCAAATCCATCCCTGAACATCTGGCTGGCTGTGCAGCCAACCTTAACCATAATAAAATATTGCCATGATGATGCCCGAGTTAACTTCCAGCTTTTTTAAAGGAACGAGGCATCCAAGTGGATCTTTTTATCAGCTGTGTTGGGCTCATCCTCAGCGCAAGGGATGATGGGCTTTGTAGTCCCTCCAACACAGCTGGCAAGCAGCGCAAGGAGGAACCCCCCACCCCCACCCCCCAACAACCTTCCAACATCCAGCCCACCCTTAGTGGGCAACAACACAGCCGACCCTTTTTTTAATCAGGCAATTCCTCCCTGCCCCCCCCTCAAAACCCCCACATCCTCTAGGGATGATGTCACTGACATCATCCTGACATGGGTCCTGCAATAGGAATGGCGGCGGCGGCGGCGGCGGCTGGAGGGTGGGGGGTAATAGAGAGAGAGAGAGAGAGAGAGCGACCAACTGCCCTGAAAATGGCTGTCGGAGAGGCCGGGGCCAGGGTGGGGTCTCCAGGAAAGAAGGGCTGGTACGGACCCCAAGGGCGCCCGCGTCACCAAATGGGGCTGCCAGGAGGTCGGCGGCCTTCACCCCTCGGGGTATCGCGCCTTTTCGCCCGGGGTACCGCTCACCATTTTGGCGGATGGTTCTCGATTGCTCCGCTCCGCCGCCGCCTCAGAAACCGCCGCCGCCGCCGCCGCCTCAGACCGCGGAGGTCGGAGAGAGCCGAAGAGAGGAGGAGGAGGAGGAGGGGAGAGAGAGAGAGAAAAAACGCCAAGACCACCAACGGGTGCGGGGAATCCTAGAGCGGACACAACAAAGGCGGAGGTCGTGGTGGGGGGAAGGAGACCCTCTGGTATGCAGATTTCAATCTATGGTCTGCAGCTCGGGGTCTGGGAGGGAGGGGGCCGGTGCGCGGTCCTCCGGAAAGCGCGTTCGTGTTGGTGCCGCCGGCGCCGGTTTTCCCACGCTCCCTCTTAGCCCCCCCCTCCCCTCCGCCGTTATCTTCACGGCGCAGCGCTGGGTGTTTCGGAGGGAGGGAGCGGCCCCGCACGTCATTTATTTATTTATTTATTTATCTATTTATTTATTTATTTATTTATTTATTTATTTTTGCAAATGATCAGTACAGAGTCCTCCACTTACAACACTTCCTTTTTTTTTTTTTTTTGGGAAAAATATTTTTTATTGTTTTTTTTTCAAACATAAACATAAAATAAATCTTTTAAGAACGAAGTCTTGAGCCAGTCATAGATAGGTACCAATCGCTTAGGTCCCTTTAACAAGCTCTATTCTCAATTTCCCCGTTTACATCTTTTAAAATTAAAAATCAAAACTCAAAATTTTTAACACAAATTCCAACATCTTATTCTAAACCAGTCTATTGTATCACCCAAAACCTTAATTTCCAAATAAACTCTACTCGTTTTTTTTATATCCAATTTATCAATCAAAATTCTATCTAGATTAATTCCCTCCCGTACATCTTTTAACCTAAAAATCAAAAACACAAGTTTTAAAAATATTCTAACCTCTTAATCAAAGTATTTACCTCACATTTTATCACCACAAATCTTAATTCCCACATATGTAAACTCTTATTTTTATTTCAATTTATAAATCAAAATTTTATCTATATTCCTTAATCTCTAGACCCATTTCAACAAGTCTTAAACTTTAGCAATTACACTTAATTCTCTCTTTTTTTTTAAATTGTTATCTAATATACATTTCAATTTACACTTACAACACTTCCTTTAGTGACCGTTCAGAGTTACAATGGCACTGAAAAAAAAAATGTGACTTGTTTTTTCCACAGTTACGACCATTTGTGGCGATTTCCCCATGGTCACGTGATCAAAATTCAGATGCTTGGCAGCGGGTTCCTATGGATGACCTTGGCTGTGTCCCAAGATCATTGTGAATCCCCTTTATGCGACCTTCTGATGAGCAAAGTCAAGGGGGAAGCCAGATTCGCTTTACATCCAGGTTCCTAATTTATCAACGGCAGGGATTCCCTTAACAACGGTGGCAAGAAAAGTCGTAAAATGGGGGCAAAACTCACTGAACAAATCTCTCTTATCTCACTTAATGTCTATGAAGATTCTGTCATCCATCCAGGTCATGGTTGTCCCAAAGGTGTTTTTTTTTTCAAGAGGCAATTGGAATTTCTGATTTTTTTTTTCTTTTGAAGACGTTTCGCTTCTCATGCAAGAAGCTTCTTCAGCTCTGACTGGATGGTGGGGAATGGAAGGATTTATACTCCTTGCAGACAGCTGGTCATTTGCATTCTTTTAGTGGATCATTAAGGTCACCTGGAGGTTTATCTGTGTCCTCGGGGTCACCTGAGTGGTGCAAATTGGTGTGGAGCCTTTTTAGAACTGTTGAAAGGACTGTATTGTAGAGTGGAGAGAAATGATGTTGTATCCATCCCCCTCTGTTGAGAGAGGGCTGTTCAATTTTGACATAGATGGCCTCTAACCCCCTCTTTCAAACCATTGTCCCTGCTAAAAGGATGCAAATGGCCAGCTGTCTGCAAGGAATATAAATCCTTCCATTCCCCACCATCCAGTCAGAGCTGAAGAAGCTTCTTGGATGAGAAGCGAAATATCTTCAAAAGAAAAACCAGAAAAATCCACTTGCCTCTTGAAAAACAACAACTTTGCAACAAATGTCTCACTTAACAACAGAAATGTTGGGCTCAATTGTGGTTGTAAGTCGAGGACTACCCGTATGATCACAATCAGTATTTGCAAGATCAAGGGGCACGTCGAGCATCGTAGTAATAAACCAGGGGTGGGTTCTAAATTTTTTTACTACCGGTTCTGTGGGTGTGGCTTATTTTGTGGGTGTGGCTTGGAGGTCATGTGACTAGGTGGGCGTGGCTAGCTGGTCAGAGTCATTTCTGGAAGGTCCTCGCACTTACGACCAGTCCTCGCATTTACGACCCGACTCATTTGTTTGCTTTGAAACCCCGCAGCAAGAGTTTAAACAGTTTTTTTCCCTCTAGTCATCAGCTGGGACTCAGGAGGCAGCAATAGATTGGGGATGGAACCAAATAAAAGGTAAGAATAACGTGGATGGGGGGGAGGGCGGGGCGGGGAGAACCGGTTCGGTGACATCATATCGTCACCGCTACCGGCTCTGCCAAATCGGACCGAACCGGGAGGAACCCACCACTGTAATAAACAAGCTTTTGAGAATTCACTGGGTACCTAAGGCACAAAATGTGGATGGGCAGAAAATGGGATCAAGACCTGCAAGCCATGGTTAATTTCCCGTTTGGGGAAAAGATAAAATTTACTCGTGTTAAAACCCATCTCACTGTTTAGGCAAAACGCAGGTGGCTTGATGGGGAAATACATACTTCTTAGAGGAATCTGTGTTTATTTATGTATTTATTTTACAATATTAGATTTGTTTGCCTCAAAGCAACATGGGGGGGCAAACTAATCTTAATAAATAATAGTTCTCAGAAGAACACATTATTTATATGTATTTAATTTGCAGTATTCGATTGGTTTGCCTTAAAGTGAGATGGACAGCAAAAAAAAAAAAAATCTAAATAATTTTTTTTAAACTAGTTCTTAGAGGTGTTTGAAGAAATATCCTTCTGGGTTCAGCTCCAAGTGGGGAAAAAGACACTGGAAACATGGAGACTGCTTGGAAAGATGGTTTAATGGTGGACAGGATCACATGATTTGAGTTCCTGAGCAGAAAAGGGGTCCAGATACTGCGAGTCCCTTGGTTTTATGCCCTCTCTGGCTTTGAACTTCCTGGGGCCCCGAAAGAGTATCCTGATTGGTTGTCAGACTCCCAGGGGTGGGGGTCTTAGCTGGCCTTGCTGGCTGATGTAATCTTCCCAGGTGCCATGTGGTGAGTTTCTGTTGCTAGATGGGTCCTATTGTGTTGCAGATGATGGTCCATTGACAAAGATGGGAGGGAATTGAGTTTCTGCCTCTGGCCCATTGACAAAGGGTGGGGGGGCAGGAAGTTGGGAGCTGCTTCGTCTTTAAAACACGCTTCTCCATTTCTCATCCAGGGAAACATAATATTCTGCCTTTTTCATATTTCCTAAAATATTTCATTCTTCTAGGAAAGGGGTGGGTGCTAACTTCCTGCAGAGGAATACATGTTAAATTATTAAGTTTTTTAAAAGTGTGTTTTTAAAAAGTATGTGCGTTATGCTCCTTGCATTAAATCCTTCCATTCCCCACCATCCAGTCAGAGCTGAAGAAGCTTCTTGGATGAGAAGCGAAACATCTTCAAAGGAAAACCCGAAAGTCCACTTGCCTCTTGAAAAAACACCTTTGGGACAACCATGACCTTGGATGGCTGAGAATCTCCATAGACACAAAAGTCTTGACAAAGCAGAAGAATATGGAGATGTGCAGAAGCAGAGATGCCACAAATGAGTTTAGAAGGAATATTCAAGTCAGGATGGGAAGTAGCTGACTAGGGAAGATTGGGTACCACCGTGCCTCCATTCTCTTGGGCCACCTTGCTAAGAAATGATTTTACAGCGAGGTAGACATATTTGCACCTGTTTGCAATTTCACAAAAGCAACAGCAATACATAAATCTGTAAATCACTTAGAGAGGGCTGTAAAGCACTATGAAGCGGTATATAAGTCTTAAGTGCAAAGTTTAATATTGTAGAATAGAATAGAATAGAATTCTTTATTGGCCAAGTGTGATTGGACACACAAGGAATTCGTCTTGGTGCATACGCTCTCGGAGTATATAAAAGAAAAGATACATTCGTCAAGAATCATAAGGTACAACACTTAATGATAGTCATAGGGAAACAGTCAATATAAATCTTAAGGATACAAGCAACAAAGTTACAGTCATACAGTCATAAGTGGGAGGAGATGGGTGATAGGAACGATGAGAAGATTAATAGTAATGCAGACTTAGTAACTAGTTCGACAGAGTAAGCCACCTAGAGTAACCCTGTGGTAAGATGGACAGTCAATAAATTTTTACAAATAAACAGTGTGATAGAGAGAAAAAGATATCTAAAGGAGTCACTAAATTCATACGGAGGCTAAGTTATTGCTTAATGCTTCAGTGACCAAACAGTAGTTAGCTGAGTTCACAGATTGAATTGAGCATAATATGGTTTCTTTAGTTCTGCTTAAATTGGATATAATCAGACACTGTAATCTCTAGGCACAGCACAATGGGCTTTATGTTCACCCTGCTCTATATGTGTTCCAGAGACTTTTGTGGGTCCTCTGACATGGTGCACAAGATTATTTAAGGAGTAGCAGCCTTTGAAGTGGTGAACTAGAGAATATATTTGTGTATTTAGGGGGGAAAAAAGACCTTAGTTTTGACAGTGCAATGTTTTTCAACCATTTTAAGATAAACATTTTACTTTGTTGTTATTGTTGTTAGTTGCGAAGTCGTGTCTGACCCATCGCGACCCCATGGACAACGTTCCTCCAGGCCTTCCTGTCCTCTACCATCTTCTGGAGTCCATTTAAGCTCACGCCGACTGCTTCAGTGACTCCATCCAGCCTCCTCATTCTCTGTCATCCCTTTCTTCTTTTGCCCTCAGTCTTTCCCAGCATTAGGCTTCTCATCTCCAGTGAGTCCTTCCTTCTCATTAGGTGGCCAATGAGTTTCCTCTTCAGGATCTGGCCTTCTAAAGAGCAGTCAGGGTTGATCTCCTCTAGGACTGACCGGTTTGATGGCCTTGCAGTCCAAGGGACTCGCAGGAGTCTTCTCCAGCACCAGAGTTCAAAGGCCTCAATTCTTTGATGCTCAGCCTTCCTTATGGTCCAACTTTCACAGCCATACATTGCAACTGAGAAAACATTTTACTAGAGGTAACATATAGGTAATCCTCGACTTATGACCA